CGCATCTAGCCCATCTTGAGACCAAAAAAACTTTTCGATTAAAGGCATGCTTTCAGCTTCCAATTTGTCAACTATCCATTTCTATGTAGCAACAGTCCGGCAAGAATATATTTCTCGATTTTTACGATATTCCAGAACCCGCGTTTTCAAACATGATTTAATTGATAGAGGGTTTCTGCTTACAAGGAAGCCATTGGACCAAGGATTTCAAATGTAAAGTTGACGACATACCTTTAAAAGTTTTTGTTGTTGTTGAACGTAACAAGAAATCTGTTTTACAAATTACCATGTTAATGTTTCAATTGTCGTTACCCAAATTTTGTCCTCTTTCCTCAATACCGAATTTTACGTATTACCAAAAGCCCAACATAGTTTTTCTTATTCTACCGAATCGACATTTTGTATTGATGTTTTGGATGAAAGGTTGAATTTTGACCGCAATGTTCTTCGACTTCGTGCTTAATTTGTCTTTTCAATTTTTTGATTCGGAGGGCAACTCTGATAAGTCTTGTGTAGCGTACCTGATTATGCGCCTGAAATATTGGATGAGTATTAACTTATACATAAAAATGATACCTAGAATTACCAAAATTATAGGACAGTACCACAGTCCACACCAATACCAGACTGACCCAAGAAAATAGACAAAATACAACGAACTGCAAAAGGTGCAGATAGCATAGCTAAGTACATACACAAATAGTTTGATTGCTCTATGTTTAGAGTCAATTTATAATTAAGTACAAGTATTAAATCTGATATGATATTTTATTTTTACCAATAATAAATTAATATATTTTCTATATATTTCACCTCCAACCTATATATAGAATCCAAGTCAGTATAATTGAGAAAATGGGATAAGTCTGTGCCAATTTTCTACCGCCTTTATAATGTTTTAGTGATGTGTTTTTATATTATTATTGTTTAACGAATCAAATACTAGTAAGTTCAAAAGCTCCAAAAGTTCTGAATTAAGATGTCTGCCCGTGGCGTATATATTGCATCAAAAGAATTCACTTAAATAAATACATGGACGCTCGTCAGACGATGTTTCGTTATCAAGACTCCTGGATAGACGGATGTATGACATTATTCATATGCGAGCGTACCCAATGAAGGTTATGGTCATGGTGTTGTCACTCTTTCTTCGACTTACGGTTTTGCGTTTTGGTTCTACTTTTATTTATTCCAGAAACTTGTGTCGTGTGCATGTAAATCGCTATTATACGTTGGTATTCCTATAGTGTCAAACATCTAAGGTTGTTTGACGTGCAACATCCAAGAAAACTGTAAAATATTGGTTTTGATTCGCATATGGTATCGAACTATGTATTAGTATTAATAATTGACAATAGCGTCAAATCATTTGACTGAATACGTATACACAAAAAAAAAAAGATTATAAACCTGTTTTTAACTTTTTGAAGCACATGAATTTCAAACGTAAGATACAATGCAACAATAAGTACATTGTTTTCAAAAGGCAATTTGTTCATATTATGATGTTTTTTCAATCCAGGTTTAGAATAATCTGTTTGTTTAAGTACTTTTAAACGAAGTATTTGTCAACAGAAGTTCAAGTGTTAATAATAACATACTTTTAAACAATTTTAAACTATTTCAAACACGAATTTTCATCACATGTTTCATATTTTAGATAAACGTCATTATCGAATCAAATGCAAGAGCTGTCATACCTCGAAACCTTGGTTTCATATATCAATATCAAAACAACATGTTTGTAAATAACAACAGGTTTAATCGCTTAAAGTTTAAGGTAAAGAAACAGTCCAAATAACTGTCCATTCCTGAAAAATAGTGGACCATTTGAACAAAAGATTTACGTCACATGTGTATTTTAATCGTTGCGTATTATCATTCAATTAGGGTATTATTTGTTTTCGTGATTTAGTATTACATGCGTTTGTATTGTTTATATACCGTTTTATACAGTTATGTGTTGCTTCTCATCTATTTTGTTTTGTACAATCTGTACTATAAAACATTACTATTTACACTCATCATGCTCGAGTACAAAAGAGGGAGGATAGATTACCAAAAAAAGCTAATTTTACTTATTCATATACCTGTCACAAATCGTCAGTGGTTGTCTGTAATCATTGCCGATTAGAAATTTTGTTACATAGTTCTGGTAGTCTCGTGTTAGATTTATCCACAGCTTTTCTAGACTGATGTGCAATTTAGAACTTCGTTGAACTCACACTTATTTCTGGATGAAGACCGTATGTTCACCTCTAGAAGTGTCTCAAGCTTTGTGTTATTGTGAAGCTGTCTCGTTAACGTGAACCAAATGTTCCCTTTTAATAATGAATATTTTGTTATCTTCTTCATGATTTTACAAACGAAAAGTATGTCCGTTGGTCACAACTTCCACGCTAAACGCTCAACCGGAACCCAAACTTTTTCTGTAACTTCGTACGATATGACTATTCTAAATATCTAATAAATTGATGCAGGGTTTACAGAAAAAAATGTGAAACACTTATACTTTCAAGGAATTGTGTAGATCCAAAGGCCACAACTTATTAAAAAAATACTCATATGGAGCGGAAGTCGTAATTAGACAAGTTCCGTAACTTCTCGTGATATGTTTAAATGCAAAATATCTAATCAATCGATTCAAACATTCCAGAAAAATGGTGGGAAATTTATGTTTTTGAGCCATTTTGTTATGTTCTAATACCACAACTTTCGAAAAATCGCTCAACCGGAATGGAACTCAAACTGATTGTGAAACGTATAGACGGAATGATTGACGACTGGAGTGCATGCACATTGTCCCGGTCAGCTTTTCAAGGAAGAAACTAATATTTATACCTTTTAACTACACATATAGAGTGCAAAAGCGGTGAACATCGTGATCGATACAAGCTATATTTGTTCATCTGGCCTGTGTGTAAATTTGTTTTCTCTATATTGCTTGTCATGAACAATTAATAAAAAAAACATTGATATGTTAATGAAATCATTGAAACCTTTGTGTAGCATATCGTGATGGTTATCCTACTTTTTGAATACAGCTGATTTACAAACCACGCCTCTTTTGGGGAGATATATAATATTCATGGATATTTTGTTTTGTTTACCTACTGGTTCCCAGATATGATCTCTATGTTTCATCTCATAGAGACACAACTTGGGAATTTTATCAGTTTAAGGAGGCTCGAAGGTACAAAAATTTCAGCAAAAATTTGAACATTTTTTTTTTCATTACAAATTTTATTTATTACACTATTAGTTATTACTTTATGATATGGTACAAAAATCAACCCAAAAAAATCAATTTGTTTTGGCCCCAGATGACTTCTAAAATGTTTATATCATTGAACATTCTCCAAATTATCTCCCTTTGGTGCAAAAATGCCATTTTTTGGCATTTAAATTGAAATATCTTTATTAACTCATCGGTGACCTATATTTTTTATAATTTTTTCTAAAATAAGCTGTTCTTAAACTAAACAATTGTGAAATTTCAGCGATTTCTGTAATTAAGTTCTTTTTTCTTACGATATTACCTCTATTTCTCCTATTAGTTCAACAGAAAAAAGTACCCTAACAAAAATGCATGCTTCTTTCGAAGGCAGATTGTGAGCTTAAATGAACGATGACCCCATTTTTTTTAATTTTATTTTTCTATTAAGTATATGATAAAGTTCATTTATAGAAAATAATAGCGAAATCCTATATTTAAAAAAAAATTGGATTTATACCCTCGAGCCCCCTTAAATGCACATGGATAGTGACCAAATTGAATTCTGAGGAAGACCCAAAGTGAAGAGAGGGGTAGTACAGAATTTTAGTAGAAGTTTAAACTCTTAGAAGTTCGAGATATATAAATATTGAAAATATGCTGCCCAGCCCTATGTTTTGACCTTTGAAAGAAATGTTTAACTGCATGAACTGATGATACCAAATTGACATTACTAAATTCTTTCATAGATTCAACACTGTTATTAGATCTTTGAATATTGTTTTTATCGTTATGAATATGATTTTGTTATCAAGAAATTAAAACCTAACTAAATATTATAGTTTTACACATACTTAAAGTCACGGTCCTACAATCTGTCGATACCCATAATTTGGCATTGCACAAGGTCATGTTTTTCTGTTAATCAAGTCTTTACCCTAAAGCCATCCGAAGTTGGATGTGTACTGATTGAAATTTTAGTCTTAGAGACATGATTATTCTTTAGTTGTTAATGGCTTTGAATTAGCTTCAAGTGACTGCTAGTACTTTCATATCTGTACTTTGTGTCTCTTGTGTTTTTGTGCTTTGTCGATCTGATGAGTTACCCACTTTTCAACTGATATTTATAGTTTGTTCTTATGTTGTGCTGTTGCAACACTGTCCAAGGATATGGGAGGGTTGTACATAAATCAGGCCGTTTATTTTCTCGTTTGAATTGTTTTACATTTGTAATTTTGGGTTTTTTTTATCGTTTGATATGGAGGATGGGTTTTGCGCATTGTTGATGGCCGTATGGTGACCTATAGTTGCTATCCTCCTACGTCATTTGATATTTTTATATATAAAAAGACAGGCTTTATTTTAATACAAATTATAATGGAAAAGGATAGTGTGTATCAATTTGTGACTCAAAATCACTACATCAAAAAACCAAAAACAAAGGAACTGCGGTATCCGCGCTGTTCTTAATTTCAAAGCGAAGGTGATGCATTTTCATGAAGCACAAACTCATACTGTAATTTCAAGATTCCCCCTAGCACCGGTTTTAGTGGAATCAGTAGCTAGATATGTGCACTGACGAACACAGAAGCGAAATATCGACAAATTCTAAATCATATCGTTCGAAAAAATCTAGCAAATACTGCCATAAAATGAAAATATCACATTATAAAAGGTTCGCCCGAAGCGCTTTTCTTGATGACTTGCACCAGGAATATTCAGGCAACAGTATTTGACCGATATTGAATATTTCGGCAAAATTATTTAACCGATGTTCAATATTTACCTTTCCATCTCTACCATCTTCAGTTTTTTTGTCAACCTCAGCATCTAACAGGAAATCTTCCTCTTTCTTCTTTGGGCCGGTTTCTATTATTAAAGTTATTTTTCTTCCATCAATGGTAATAGTGTGAACTGGTGAAAACTGAGCAGCAATCTTTCTCAATGGAAAACCTATTTCTAAAACCAAATAAATTTTACTTGAAATAAAATAAGAATAAAATGATACATTAACAATCATAAAATTGACACTTCTTCTTTTCCATTTCCGTATGCGGTATTCGCATTATTACCCCAGTTGAAGTCGAGGTAAGTGATTATATGTGTGTCCCCCGATGATAAGCTCCATCCTCTCCGCAACCAAACATACGCCCACTATGGCGGCATTTCAAACTAATACCCCCCCCCCCCCCCTCCCCCCCCCCTTTATTTAGGTGAACTCCCTTTGCAGATAGGTTTGAATTTGTTTAAATATTTGTCATTGACGTTTAGCAAACAAAAAATCAACAAATGTTTGTATAGCCCAATTAAATGTTTATTTTCTGTTGTTAATTACAAAATAATCTTAAAATGTAGTTGCCAATTATAAACAAAGGAAACCTAAAATAACAAAATAAATATACTTACCCAATGCTTTCAGAATTTCGTCTAAATTTTCACTTTTATACACTTTCCATTTTCCTTCAAATTTAGCTTTCATCTCATCTGCTGACATTTTGAAAGTTCTAACTGCATGAAATATTTAGAGATCGCTTACAGATATATTTTTATATATAATACTCAGAAGTCAAAATGTAGACCTTTAATGTTAATGATTTTTTAATTCTCCCTCATGAATTCGTCCGAATTTAAAACATTTCTATTCTAAATACATGGCTAAATAAGAGACAAGTCATAATTTAGGTTTGTTTGCTCGCAGTAACTTTCTTATTTTCTCAGCGAAACAACATTTAATATCTTGTAAACATTTTACAAATTACAAAAATATACCACAATTCCATCTATATACATTCACAATGTCCTCTAAACACATATCAATACAAACATAACTGTAATATATTATGCAGAGCTTAACGTTAACTTCGTCTATCAAAGTTACTGGAGCACATCGATAATAATCAAACGTAATCAGGACTTATATATGCCTATAAAACCCCACCCGTACTACCGCCCTCGAAATGTTCGTGCAGAAAACAACAGTAACATCAGACCACTTCTGATTTACATACTAGCCAAACTTGTACCACAAGTCTAAAGATAGAAATAGAATAGGGAAATTCCAAATATAACGGAATAGAAATAAATAAATGCACGATCAATTCTAACGCTTTTCTATTGATTAATTTAACTGTATGAACAATAACAATGTGGTTCAAAAGTCCTTGTTTTTGAACCCAACCTAGTTTCCACCTGATGTATAATAGCTTTAATGCATTTAATAATTAAAATAGTAAAAATATCCGTCATGAAAACTATGTTAAGTCAAGTTTTAAATTGTTGTTATGACGACGTTATTGATAATTATTTGTTATAATAATGTTATTATCATAAGTAAATAATTCCAATATTTATAGTTCATCATTTTATATACTAAGGGAGCTACCATTTGATTTTTATGGGGGGGGGGGGGGGGGGGGGGGGGGGGGGGCTAGGATGAAATTTAAAAAGAAGGCAGGATAGAAGTTTTGAGTAAAAAAAGACAGGATGACAAATTATGTATAAAAAGTCAGGATAAACTAATAAAAAAAAAGGCAGGACCGAATAAAGTGAAAAATAAAAAGGCAGGACCGAGATGACAACTAAAAAAAATGCAGGACACAATTTTTCATCATACCAAGTTGCTCATCCTGCCTTTTCTTTTAATCAAAACTCCTGTCCTGCCTATTTTTTTCAAATTTCATCCTAGCCCCCCCCCCCCCATAAAAAACCAAATGGTAGCTCCCTTAGGAAATATATGAATGGAGACTGCAAAATTTCAACAAACAACACTAAAACACACTTCTGTCGTATTATGATCCAAGAATATTAGGATTTATGTCTTTGTTAAATACATGTCTGTTTTACACTTTACCAGATTAATTCATATCAAAGTTCTTGTAGGATTCAAGATGTTATGTTATCCTGCTACCTTAAATTTAATCTGGATCCTAAAGAGGTGCTTTCGGATTGGGTTTGTCTCGAAAGTCTCAACTGATTTGAGCATTTTGAATTGAGCGTTCCCGGTGAAAGGTAATAAAACGTAAAAGCCCACGCATGTTGTGCCTGTATCAAGCCAGGCAATCTTGACCATGTGTTGTTCGTTGTTGTTTCTCGTTTTCGTACGTCTATTTTTCCTGAGGAGTCAGGTGTTTGTTATTGATTGGTGTGCATGGTCTATTTTACTGTCCAATATTTTTATATTATATTAAAGTATCAATAGAAAGTTTATCATTAAAAATCCAGGTTTAACTAACAAAGGACTATATACAAAATAAAGAATTACCATCTTAATCCATTCAGGTTTCATTTGTTTTGATATAACTGCAAAATCTGTTTTTGAAATTTATATTCTAGAGATAACAAAAGTTTTACTATCTGTTCGTTTTAGCTATAAGTAAGTTCTTGGTGGCAGGGACATTGACGAGTCTGTTTGAAACTAGAACCCTCGATCCTCTTGTAGTTAGGGATAGCTATAATATTCATTAATGAAATAAAAAGAAGATGTAGATATACGTCACTGAGACTGTAATAATCAAGACATTTAGAGGTCAATATATTTAAAAACAAAAAGAGATAATAAATAAAAACGGGAATGTCACATGAAAATTAAAAACCGATAACTCTCTACCCCGAATCGTGACATCTACAGGCAAAAGTCATAACATTCAAGACAAGACAAATGTAAAGGAGAAACTCTCGATCCTTCTAAAGCTAGGGAAATGGTATAGTAATCCTGGCAGATGTAAACAGATAACTTGTCAAGCAGGGAAATGGTATAGTAATCCTGGCAGATGTAAACAGATAACTTGTCAAGCAGGGAAATGGTATAGTAATCCTGGCAGATGTAAACAGATAACTTGTCAAGCAGGGAAATGGTATAGTAATCCTGGCAGATGTAAACAGATAACTTGTCAAGCAGTGAAATGGGGTATAGTAATCCTGGCAGATGTAAACAGATAACTTGTCAAGCAATGCCTGTATTCATACTCTGTTCTTCTACCGTTTTTGTATTTTTGTATAAATCTTATCTTTTTCGTTCATATTCTATTTTTTATATTTACCTTATACTTTCGTTGAATATCGTGATTACCCCATTACAATAAATTCATTTCCCCTTTACAATAAATTAATTTCCCCATTACAATAAATTCATTTTCCCCATTACTATAAATTCAGGGACATGATCACGCAGCAAATATCAGACATTTAAGGGGGAAGACCAGGCTTGGTAACCCAAACATTTTCTACTCGTTTGTTTTTTTCTTATATTGACACCGTTGAAAGGGCAGGGATTACCAGTTTCGGGGTACCCTTAAAAAACGGTTGAAACACTAGCAGACATATACTTTTGTGGGATTTTGCATATGTTCTCAATAATTTTCTTCTGTGAACAAATTGCATTGTCGGGGTTCTTAAAAATATTAACAGTCTTAACAAGTAAAACTGTGAGATACTGCTCACTGATGATAACCCCGCCGAAATATTTCGGTAAACAGGAAGTTGTTGAGTGATGAATCTGAAAACGCATCACATGGTGTAACTTACTTATATAAACCCTGAAACCAAATTTCAGAAATCCTTGTCAAGTAGTTCCTGAGTAAAATGTGTGTGACGAAAATTTTCAACTTGGCTATCATGTGTAAAATAATACAAGTGTTTGGTAAACAGGAAGTTGTTGAGTGATGAATCTGAAAACGCATCACACGATGTAACTTATATAAATCCTGAAACCAAATTTCAGAAATCCTTGTCAAGCAGTTCCTGAGAAAAATGCGACGAAAGTATTCATGGGACGGACGGATGGACTGACGGACTGACGGATGGACTGACGAAAGGACAGACAGAGGTAAAACAGTATACCCCCCCCCCCTTTTTTAAAAAATACTCTGTCTTTCTAAGTTTTTTTTTTTTGCAAGACGATATTATGAAAGTTATAATTTATATACCAGTACTATATACATACTTTTATAGTAACTGGTTTCCTGTTAGCCATTGCATTAGTTGTTATATGTAGTTAATCTTAACCAAACCTTGGAATGAGTTATTAGTAAAGTATATTTTATTAACGTAGGGTGTTTTATTGAGATATTTGGAAAATCAAGCGAAACATCTCACTTTTAAAATTTGCCATTGCATTTTATTTAGTCCTGTTTCATCATCATCTACCACTTGACTCATTTTTAATAAATCATTTTAAGGATGTACTTAGGTGAAATTAAAAAAATCTAGAATTAAAAATTGATACTATAAGTCAGAAGAGCATTAGTTAAGGAACAAAATAAGCTAAAAATATTGATATGTTATGGAACTCCTTTTCGAGATATTTATTATTTTTTAAATGGCAAGAAAAGGATGACTCTGAATTTTACCTTATAATTGCATTGGCATTATTTGGGTCCTATATCGAAAGAAAAGAAATCTAGAATCTGCTTAAATTTTGGAAAATGACCTTTTATGAGCTATTGAAGTCTTGTATGAAAAGAAAAATGTGTGTTATGGGGAAAAACATTTTACCCTAAATCGTAGATAAAAAAAAACAAATAGTCCGAACATCTGACAAAAATTCCTTAATCTCACCTAAGTATATCCTTAAGAAAAAAAAAACACAATTGTAATGTTTCTTGAAATACTATTTATATCATGAGCAACTCGATGAGTGCCACACGTGTAGCCGTCTCTGCGCACCCTTGTGGAGCAATTTAGTTTTATATGTTCTGTTTTTGGAACTTGTTCGCCTTTTTGTCGTTGATTTTTTCTTTGTAATGAGTTTAAATGTCCCCTTGGTATCTTTTGACTTATTTTCACAAGTTCTATACTGGAGAGGGGATCTGAATACTGTAGTTTATCTTTTGGTCATTTTTCTTTTTTTGCCGTGACTTTAATATTGACATTGTATAAATAAATGTAATAAGTTAACCATCGACAATAAATCTTAAATCCATATGCTTCAGGACACTTTTTGATAAAAAAAAAAAAGCACTCGAGCAGGACAGGTAAAAAAGAAAAGTTATGTGGCTCTTCTAATCAAACATCAAGCACAACTTAAATCGTCCAATATCAAGATTTAATGACGACAGATGATAAAATGTTCAAATTCGATATTACAGGAACTTCCTGTGAATTGTCGGTTTAAATTTCACATGTTAATGATATGGGACTCTGCTCTTTCTTCAGCCAAAAATGATAACAACATTTCCTATGTGCCTGTCTCAAGCAAAGTAATATGCAATCCATTGGTTTTGGTGTGTTGCTATCTGCCATAGTTATCGTTCGTTTATTGGAATACCCGTAGTTTAATCAGACAGTTGTTGTTTTCTCACGGTGATCTTTTATTACTATCATCGCTGTCCTTTGGTCTGTAAAGATAATTGTCCCATTGGCAAAAAACTGATAAAATATATACACATGACTGTGTAATCATATAACACTGATTTTATTGGTTAATACATATTCAGACAAGTGCTTTTGATCCTACACCCTGTTGGTACTTTTAATATAGAATTGTACAATTACCAGACTGACAAAGTAATATAGAATTGTACAATTACCAGACGGACAAAGTAATATAGAATTGAACAATTACCAGACTGACAAAGTAATATAGAATTGTACAATTACCAGACTGACAAAGACGAATTATAAAATTAAGCCTTTGGATGTGTACTAATTTATAATTTAGTCTGGGAAGCATGTTTTGTTCTCAGTTGAAATTAGGCTTTGAACTACTTGAGTGTACTCTTAGATCGGTTCTGTGTGTCTTTTGTCTTTTTGTTAATTGTTATTTCTGTTAACCTCCGATCTGATAATTTTAGCCTTTCTAAACTAATTTTCAAAGTCTGTTTTTTTCGGAACTTAAAATGTTAATTTTTTAACGGAAGTGGGACAGATGTTCCCTGTCATGTCATAACAATCTACTGTTTCAGAATCTAATGCATTCTAAGTAATATTTTCAGAGGCGTACATCAAAACGTTGTGATTGGTTGACAACGTCCTAAACAAAGGAACCAATGACGTGACGTAATTTTCATTTTGGGGTACATACAATGAAATTACCGATAGTCCCTTATATTCTGCTCCGGCGAATTCCCTTTGATGGTTATGGAAATGTAAAAGTACGTTTGTCTTATCCTGAACGGCTGGAAAGAAATGTTTCTTATTCAATACTATATTAGGAAATGTTGCCATACGTTCAGACTTCTTGATTTCATGGCTAACACTTCAGATACTTGACTAACATTTTGCGTAAAACTGAGCAGTTCCCTCGTGATCAGAATGAAGCCTATCTCAACCATGGTGAGGTAAATGTAATCTGTGTTTCTCGCTTTTGGCTAATGCATTATAATTTAGATACTAGGATTATCACCAACAATCGAGTACTTAAGTTTAGAAGTCTATAATTTTAGTAATGTTTTACTTTACTCGTGCATAAGAATAAATTCAACAAATGTAGATGTTTTTCACGTGACATGACTAAATGCAGATTAGGGGTTAGATAAGCATTTTCAGTGACTGATATCAATTGCATGACGTCATACAGATTAAAGGTTTAATAGGCAAGGTCGTTAAAAACTTCCATTTGTTTGTTTGCTCAGTACACACCGTTTGTAACAAAGAGAGTTTGGTTATATCTAGTGTACAAATCACACGTGCGAGAATTAATTTGGAATGGATTGATAGATTGACTGTTTTCATGCATATTCATGACATGAACATATTAGCAATCAATAAAATACATTTTTCCAAATTGGGATGACGCGTATTGTAGTGGAGACCATTTTATTGCCAATAGAAAATAAGGGTTCGTTGAGTAGGAACCGACATTTTGACTTACAATGAAGGAATGGAAATTTACATTGCATATTCATATATACGGTCAAACTTGTAAAAATAAATAAACGAATAATTAAATAAAGTCAGAGACAAATCTATTGGGTTGTTGATATTTAAAATTTCACAAACCAAGAAGTATACAATTGCACTGAGTATACCGAGTCTACATAATCTCCAAAGAACACATTATTATTGTCTAAAGTGAAATGCTTAAAAGCGACGTGCGAAATCTGTAAGTTCACATGATTTAGTTGTGAGCCGATGTAAATACTTAAGTAACGTAGAGTTCAAAGTAACAGATTTAAGCCTTCTTGAAATATCTTTTTGCCGACACTTCTCCACGAGTCATGGTCTGAAAATAACAAAACTTAAATAATTACTTATATGTGTATCTTTTTCTCGAAACTTTCACATATATTTCGTATAAATAAACTGCCAAACGTCCGCATATAAAGCTGAAAATCTCGTTGGTCGTAATGTGATAGCCTCTTTATTTTTTTTCATTTTGTGTATATTTAAAATGCAAAATAAATTTTAAAGATGCATAATTACGTAAATGTGAAATAAAACTACATAACATATTGTCTTTTCTAAATTTTGATTATATTGAAACGTTTCCATACATTATTGACGTATCGCTACATAGTTTGCATATATTATACACTTATTATATTACACAAATTACTGGTAGTCATTCAAGAGAGCTATTGGTGTTTTTATCTAAAACTATTATATAATTAGGCTTTATTTAAATGACCTTTATACGCATGCATCTTTTTTTTGGTTCACCTTACACCAATTCCTTGTACATACATAGTTTTGTTTTAGGTTTCACATACATGTACCCCTGTTTTGCTGTTCGTATGCGTCTCTTTATGCTCTACTTGTGCATCAATTGTGTGTTCTAAAATGAACTCTTTCAGGCATCTTACAGTTTTTAAACAAATTAATCCCATGTCTCCTATCTGACATCTTCTTGCCAAAGGATGTTTAGTTCGTATTTCAAACGACAAATAAGATTCTTTAGCCGCCATTTTAAATCTGACTTACATTTTTGACAAATAATGTTAGTTATAGGTTAAAATTGAAAAAAAAAAAATTACAGTCGTCATCCTATCGCTTTTAACAAACTGATTCCTTCGATAGCATGCTATCTAACTCTTATCTAAATGATATAACGCTATTAAATCAGCTATTAGAATTAACCAATATTCCTTAAAGAGGCCTACTCACCATAACAAGATCATCTCCTTGTATTTCTCTTACTATTGTTACAACTTTCTTTGTTGCATCAGTAGGGGTATTTACAATTGTCAATTTACCGTCGACGAATGTCGCTTTCGACTGCAATATAAGATTAATTATCAACGAGTATTACATCAAACTATACAACTACTTGAAAAAGTCAGAGAGATTAAAACGTTTGTTATTATATGTACGTTGACTGTAAATCTAATATTACAAATCCGATTGTTTAACATTAGCTCAAACAAGGCAGGTAAAATCAAAAGAAAACGAATTCTGCCCCGTTATTTTCTTTGTTTCCGATGTGTTTTTGTTTCTCTGTCCATTGTTTTCTTTTTTCCAATTTAGGCATACCTGATTAGAGTTAATTTTACTAAAACATGCAGTTTGTAAACAACAAAATACGGTGGATATTTCGGAAGTTAAACTACTATGCTGGCAAGTCGAGTCCAACATTAACTGCTCATTCATAAAATACGATTAAAAGAATATTGATACACGAAGACAATCATTATAGTTACCTTGACTATTTCTCCGGAATCTGTTTTCCTGTCTACCTCTTCATTTAATGTGTATTTTTCTTCCATTTTCTTTGGACCAGCCTCTATGTTAATTGTTATGCTATTACCATCAATGCTTATAGTATTTGTTGGTGACATATTAGCAGCAGCTTTTCTCATCACAAGGTTGACACCTGTGAATACATTAAATTGAAATGCGCATTCAGTTGGAGTCAATATCTGTTTGTTAAATTGCAATAAATGATAAAAAAAAATCAAATCAAAATGCTTTAATTTAAACTTAAAATGTAGTAAAAAAGTAGCGGAAATACTTTCTATAATAATAATGTTTTTGCCAAGTAAAAATTGCACCGTATGCTTGCTTATTTCTTTGTTAAAATAATTTATTTATTGTTAAGGTATAAAGGAGTATATAAAAAAAATTGTAAGGGGTTCCGCGGAACCCTGTGTCTCGCCTACGATTGCTGCTGTCAGTGTAAAAGTGTAATGTTTACTTTAAAAGGGAGTCCATTTATCAGTAAAATACAGAATTTAAAAAAAATTCAAACTTTTACTTCATATGCTATTTCTTGGTCTTGAAGATTAGCTTCTGCCCAAGTTTCATAACAATCCATGAAGGTATGTCAAAATAATTGAATCCCAGACTGTCTGTAAATGTTAACCGTAAATTACAAAATTTTCTTCTGGATACTATCTTTAGATCAAAAACAATCTTCTGTCCAAGTTTGGTAGAAATCCAAGATAGTTTAAGAAAGTTATTAAAATTTCAAAAACTTTAACAAAAGAGTTAATATTTGTGGACGCCACCGACGACGACGCCGACGACGGAATGAAGGATCGCTATGTCTCGCTTTTGCGACAAAAGTCGCAGGCTCGACAATAAGAAGATTTTGTATAATTGCCAATGAGACAACTCTCCACCAGAAACTAATTTGAAATGACATAGAAGTCAACAGCTATAAGTCACAGTAACAATGAGCAAAACCCATAGCGCATAGTCAGCTTTAAAAGGCCCCGAAATGACAAATGTAAAACATTTCAAACGAGAAAACTAACGGCCTGATTTATGTACAAAATAATGAACAAAAAACAATATGATATACAGCAACAGACGACAACCACTGAATTACGGGCTCCTGTATAGTTTATTTTTTAAAATATCAACTTAAAAATATTTGCTGCTTAATCTTTTTCACCCAGTATATTTTTGAACATCATTTTCGTCCATAGCTCTGAACTAATTTGCTGTTATATTTAAACGATAGCTCTGATCTGATTGGTCCCAACATTTAAACGGTAGTACTGGGCTAGTTAGCCATTAATTAAATCGGTAGCACCGAGTTTATTCTTCAAATCCAAATAGAATATGTTTTATTCCATAATTATTGGTTAAAAGTGAAAGGTTATATCAATATAACCAAACTGCTTTCTAAATGTTTTGCGTGAGTGTGACACCAATACAATATGAATGATCATGAATAATGCCGATTCAGAATAATTTAAGAATACGTAACATTAAAACCAATAAAACCATTGAAACGATAAAGTCATGGTACTTAACATTTTCATGTTATAATTCCCCTGCAAGCTACAATGTTATCAGTAGTCATGTCATTTTTACAGTTAGGTGAACATTGGCGAGATTAAATTGCACGGCAATCTACTATTTTATCTAGAACGTAATCACACGTTAACTTCCAATGGCAGAAGTGCAATATGCCGACATTAACGACAAATAAATAAATACAAATACAAATAATTTTTATTAACTAATCACAGTGCCCGTACTAGTGCAGAATAATTACAGTTTAATTATGACTACAAGACAGAACATACGATACTTACACGTTACATTGTTTTCTAAAAGAAAGTGTCATGCGATGTTTTGTGAATATTCCCATTGCCGACGCCGTCAGGATTTTGTTAACCGTTAAGGAATATTTGTGTCACCGATTGACCATTGATATGTTCCACTTTCCGTAGCCACTATCTCGTCCTTTTTCTTCTTCTCATTTTTGACATAACGAAACGCGACTTATCCAGGTTCTTTCCCTTGACATTAGCAGCACAAGTACTTGCCCTCTGGAAAAACCAGAGTTTAACATCGTTTTTTTTAAACCTTTTTTTTTTTTTTTTTTTTTTGGGGGGGGGGGGGTTCTCCACATGTGAATCGGTACTTTTATACCGTTGTTTGTCTTTTCGCCACTTTTTGTTTGACTATGGTGTTGACCATTTTTGATTGAACTGTAGTATAATTACTTTATCCTGAGTATACACTCCCCCATCCCCACCCTCAATATATCGTTCTAATCGTCGATGTAATATGGTCCAATATCGGTGCGACAATTTCATGAATTAAATACAAAAACATAACAATAAAATGTAAAGAAGATGTTGTTTATTGTAAAGTGGTATGATTGTCAAGTTCGAGCGAAATATCCACCAGCGTCCAAAGGACGAGGATGTTTACAACTAAAGGTCACCGACATTGAAAAAACCCCATACGTCAGCTGTCACCGTGTGGCCTTCGACATTGAGTAAACCCCATACGTCAGCTATAAAATATTGCATGACAACATGCTTAACAACTTATACGAAAAAACCAACGATCTGACAAGTATATTGTGTACTGTAAATTCAGAAATTATTGCGAGGTTTCTATGAATGCGAATAATGCGACTATAGCAATAATAAGAACTCGCATTCTGATATCAAATACATAGATCTGTATGTATTTTTTCCTAAAATCGCAATAATTAAACTCGCATTTCTGTTAATTCTTCAAAAGTCGCAATAATAAATGCACGCAATAATTTATGAATTTAAGGTATAACACTTACCCATCTCTTTTAGGAAATCTTCAAACTTTTCACTTTTGTAAACTTTCCATTTTCCTCCAAATCCATTTTTCAACTCATCAGAAGACATTTTTTATTTTTTATACTGTAATGTTAGGCGAAGTAGACGGAGAAATCAGTGTGCATTAAAAGTTGAGAATACGCAACTTATATATACTGCCGGAAATTATACAGGTTCACAATGTGGAACGTCCAGGTGATTGAGAGGTAGACCGGAACGTTTACAAACATAAATATTGAACATGTTGATTGTTATCATTCAACCTTACATTTATTTATTCATCAATAGCGTACTACATCTTGAACTGAGTGGGATTTTATCCTTAACGATACGAAAACTTTAAATAATTCTAATAATTGATAACGTTTCTGTCATTTTTTTTAAAGATTATAAAAATGGTAATATTTGTTGTACATTCCGCTCTGATTCACACAACATTAATAATTATAATAAGTGGCTAAGTAATGAACGTTCCACATAGCTCTTGCTACGTACGTCTAGTAGAGATTTACAATAACTGTCAGTCTCGGAATTCGAGTACAACTACAAAACATACAGGTAAGCTACAGGGGTGATCTCAAAATAATGTGTACGCTAATTAATTTTACCGTGTTCAATCTTTGTGTGGTGATAGGACAAAACCATTTCTCAAATAAATTGACTTTTTTTTTACTAAATGGTAGAAAGTGCGCTTTTTCGTTTAAGCTCGATATAAACAGATATGTTCAACGTTTAAAAACTTTCACAACAAACATGTATTGTTCAATTACATGAATATGATAATTTTTACCGATTACATTAAAATAAACCTTTTCAAGCTTTAAGAAAGTTCCTTTACTGACGAATTATTTAAAAGGGAATTGGATAATTATTGTTCAGTTTTTTTAAATTATTTTCAGTATTTCGGGTCATTTGTTTCCACTGTGCATAGTCTTGGAGAATAGTACGGAGCCCCTAATGTGCTATGTGAATATAAATATTTTCGTTTGCCTGAGATTAAATCTGGTGCGCATCATTTTGAAAAATAGTGCGCACGAGTATCAACAACTTATAAACTGGTGCGCACGTACGACTTTAAAACTGGTGCACTAAACTTTTAAACTCGTGCGCACGACTTTCAAAATGGGTGCTAACGACTTTCAAACTCGTGCGTACTACTTTCAAATTCTTTGGTTCTTTTTTATGGGTTTTTCTTTTTTTGCAGTTTAATTAACAAGATCATTATAAACATTATCTGCAGATCTGTAGTCGCATTATATGTGGCAATTCTTCAGCATTAACTGTTACAGTAGCATCACCTGCACTTATATCTCCAATGTCAGGCCCATTATCCATTTTTTAAAGTTCAGGTTCCTCTACTGCTTATACAGAATTGGATGTCTCCTGATCCTCGTCACGAGAAATAAGTTGAATTATTTCATCAGCCATAAACGATATACCCAAGACAGCAGATAACCAGATAGCCAGAACAAAAAAAGAGAAAGTGTAGGAGGCTCAACAGACTCATTGCAGAATACCGAGTCTCTGTTGAACATGTTATTTGAGAATTGAAATGCTATAAAATCATTGGAACCCGTTGAAGGCTTCTTCGTCACACACTTAAAACCATAATTAAAGTTTGTGGTAACCATTGTTTTGTCAATCGCCGAAAACAACTTTTCAATTACCACTATAATGATTAAAGTACAATGTTTACAATAACTTTATTATTTTGAGATCGCCCCCGCTGTCTTACTCTGACTCGTAAACGGACTCGGGTCGGAGTCGGACACTTATTGTAAATCTCTAATAAGAACTAACCACGACTTACACGATCTCTGTACGCTTCTACCAAGACCTTCCCGATCGCATTACGATCTCAATATGAGTCTACTATGATGCTTTTAAGCGGGCTTTCAACATTCTTTCCTTCGAGTGCGCCACAAGCGTGGGCCACGTTCTATCTTCTCTGAAATTCTCCAGCAATAGCTAGTTATTCATTTGGTTCTGTTGGACAGGATATGACTTCATCTTTATAGTCCTGTACAATTGCTTGGCAAACCTCAGGAATAAAAGTTCTTATATCATTGCACGCGACTCTGAAATCGTATTGAAGGGTTTGATACCTATCGCCAGAAGCTAATTGCCTTAAGGTAATAACAACTTTCAGACCGGAGTCTAGTGCCTTTCTGAATCAGGTGTCTATCTTCTGAATTCGAAGTCTTACTCTGTTCAAAAGTTCATCAAATAATTCAGGAGACATCCTTAAAAAAATTAAAGAATGACTGTTGATTCTCCATCCTTAATTCTTTCATAAGTCGGTCGTAATGCCCAAACTGGCGTCGTCTTTCAACAGAAAGCCAAGGGCGCACCCAACAGGACCTAAATTGTCTGGTATGTCTTCCCCTTCTTCTTATAACTAAAAGTGTAGCCTGATCAGCCAAATCGATGCAGTGCAGCTGAATGAAAGATTGTAGAAGTAGGTTTGGATTATGTGTGTCCATTGTTGAACTACAGGTAGAAGTTATTGCATCCGTTTTTATATCAACAGAATGAGGTCGTGCAATTATCGTGTCTAGGACGCAGAAGTATCGTAGTAAGGTCGTACTTAAAGACGGCAAGCGAGTAGTATTGTCTTCCTCATCGTAGTATACTCGTATCAATATCGTAGTAGAAGCGTAATAAAGACGCAATGAAATCGGGATAGTCGCAATGAAATCGTAGGAAGGTCGCAGCGAAATATTTTCCATTGGCTTACCGATTGCACCACGATTTCCAATACGATGCTTCTACGCTCATCCCGATCTTACTACGTCCTTATTACGACCTCCCCACGCTTCTACTTCAACTTGTTTCGGTAACGACTGCACTACGAATGTTTTGAGCATGCTCAAAGTTGGTCGTGGACCTCCACGATCATGAAGACCTTTGCACGTCCTTACCACGACCACCATGATCTTACTACGAGTTTCAAAATCTTTCATAATGTCTGAGGTCGTAGCGGGATTGCGGTCCAAGTGTGACGATGGGGGTATTAGTTTATACAAAAAAACTCCAGGACTTTTTCATCGACAATATAAATCGCCGACCAACTAAAGCTTGTGAGAAACTAGTTATGCACCATTGTTGCTCCACAAATGTATTAAAGAAAACTGATATGGTCTCAGAAGTATCTTTTACATATACACTACAGTAACGTTATACACACTGGAAAACGGCACATACTACAGACTTCATGGAATGTTGAAATAGGACGTGAACACAAAATTCAGTATGGATAAGAATAATATATAAAAACACGCATATACACACATGCACACGCACTACAAAAAAGCGTACACTGTAACGTAGATTTTTATTCCTATTAAAATTCATTAGCAAATAAAAGCAAAAATCCGTCTCAAGATACGACTGGCAATAGTAGGAGACATAAAAGAGAAGAAAAACTACAGGCTCTTAAGACCATGTGTCGCTCTCCTGCATCTTCACCAAAAGCCATTTTTTGGTAAAAATCATCACGAAAGGGCAATAACTCTATAAAGATTTAACTGACAATTTCAGTCATGTTGACATACATATATATAGTAGATATTGTCTTGCTGATAATTTTTGCTATATAAAGTTTCTATCTATCTATTATAGTTTTCAAAATAATAGGCAAAAATGGGAAACATTGTCATTAAAGGGCAATAACTTCAATAAGGCGTCAACTGACGATTTCCGTCATGTTGTCTTATTTGTACATTTGTAGATCTTGAATTGTTGATCATTTTCCTATTTAAAGTTTTTTTCGATCTTTTATAGTTTTTGATCAGATATTGCAAAAAAACGCAAAAAAATGGTATAATCGTATTAAAGAGCACAAACTCCATTAAAGAGTTGTCTGATGATTGCAGCCATGATGACTTATTTGTAGTTCATGTCTTGCTGATCGGTTTTCCGAATAAAACTGTCTCTTTTTCTATTAAAGTTTTGAAAATAATAGGCAATAATGAAAAAAATGATAAAATTTGATATTTAAGGGCTATAACTCCAATAAGAAGTTGTCTGACAGTTTTCCTTTAAGTAAATAGCAGGAAGATATCAACATATGCAACAGTTCTGCCCCTGTCAGATTTTCTCTATTCATAGCGGTTTTCAAGATAATAGACAAAACTTCCATTTTACCCCTATGTTCTATTTTAGCCATGTCGGCCATCTTGATTAACAAACGGGGTCATCGGACACATTTTTAAAACTAGATAACCCAATAATGATTGTGGCCAAGTTTGGTTAAATTTGGCCAAGTAGTTTCAGTGGAGAAGATTTTGAACAGATATATCATCTTATGGAGGGGTATTTGCGAAAAATACCAGTCAAGGGACGGTGAAATTTCCCAAGCCGCTAGGCCGGGGAAATTTGGTCCAAAGACTGGTATTTTTCGCAAATACCCCTCCATAACATGATATATATCTGTTTAATTACACCGAAAAGATTTTGATTGAAACTGTCTGTACAAGTGAATGGAAATCGTAGTACCGCGGGAATTATACATGTACTTATATGCGTTAGTGCTGTCTTTTTGTAACGTCATGGTATCTACATGTATGTGTGTAAACGTCATTGTTATTCCATCATTAAATCGTTCATTTGTATAGATATTTTTTCCCCTCTTTATATGTATAATTCTGACAGTTTTCGGTTTAACTCAATCAATAGTGCTTAACCATGTTGTCGGGATAAAGCCTGAGAAAGGTTCCGAATAATTTGGCGGGAACAGTCTCGCGAGGGTAAAAAAGGAATATCCAAAATGGCAAATACCACGGCAGAGAGGGGAATTTGAGGCAAATTCACCGGCAGTGGTGTAAAAACAGGCAAATTTGTTTGAAATGAGGAAAAAATGCTAGAATATGCGAAAAATACACTGGCTAACAACCAATCAAAATCCGGCATTCTTATATAAGGTGTAATTATTGTAAAAGTTATCGGACGACGACGGACGACAGACGCCAAGTGATGAGAAAAGCTCACCTGGCCGAAAGCTAAACACTAGATATGTACCTACTACATGCTACTGATATTCTTGGTAAGACAGCCACTTTCAAAATTAAATTCAAATATTTAGAATTTAGTGCTTTGTTGGTAATGAGCAAACTATTCTCTTAAAGTCTCAAATTTAACAGCCAAGGAATCGTATCCATGACCTCCAACATTAAATACAATATTATATTTTGCTCACACAAATAAAACTTGAATTATGCTCTCTTAGTAAACTTTGTAAAGTGGAATGACAACATTGATACTATGTCTTACGTGAGATATTATTGAACATGTATGAAATATTTGCCACTGAACGTTAAGTTTCCAAAAGTCATATCAATCTGAAGTTAGAAACAAAATATAATTACAGCCTAATCATCGTAAAAATATGATGTTTTGAAATAACTAGTCCATATAAATATCAAACCTGGTATTTGGTGAATGATTAAAAACACCAATCCAATTGAATACTGCCAAATTAATATATATCAAAGGAAATATTTCAGTTGATGGGCGTCCCTAACGATTGTGCGAAATAGAACTCAAACCTTATAAAAAGACCACGACAAATATGTACACAGTGATAAAATGAATATAGGTTCTTGCTTTGCTTTTGCGCAAATTTGCATTTCATTTGTAAGGTTGGAGATGTTAACATTCGCAATTAAATAATATTAATTAAACAAATTCAATCATTAAATATACGTTTGCGAGGCAGTTTAACTTGTAACTTAGCAACGAATTATTTGTTTGTTTTCCTCTTATGATTCGCTGGTATAATATTGGATTTTTTTAATGTAAAGTATAATTCATTAATGTACAAACAATTGACAAAAAGGTGAGGAAATCATTTAGGTAAATTGAGCTAGTCAGGGGTTAAGTTGTTTTGCTCGGTTCAAATTCCCAAGCTTTGAATTTAAAATTTAACGTTGGAAACATCTCTAACTCACTTTTTCTGCGTCTACTTATAATTTCTATTTAACAATAATGTTATCCATTTATCTCTCAATTGCGGATGACAGTTTATGGTATATATCTCTCTCTATCTCCCTCTACTCTCTCTCTATCACAAAACATTTTATTCACGCCACATATTTGCGCCTGTCCTAAGTCAGTGACATCTTGCTTTTGTTAATATATAAAAAAGATGTGGTATGATTGCCAATGAGACAACTCTTCACAAGAAACCAAATGACACAGAATTTAACAACTATACATCACCGTACGGCTTTCAGCAATGAGCAAAGACCATACCGCATAGTCAGCTATAAAACGCCTCGAAATGACAAATGTAAAACAATTCAAACGAGAAAACTAACGGCCTACTTTATGTACAAAATAATGAACGAAAAACACATATTAATATGTTTTCCGCTCGTTGGTCGGGTTGTTGTCTCTTTGACACATTCCCCATTTCTATTCTCAATTTCATGTAAGACAGCAACAAATGACAAACATTGAATTACAGACTCCTGACTTAGTACAGACACATACATAATGTGGCGGGGTTAAACATGTTAGCGGGCGCCTCCTTTTAACCTGGGACAGTGGTGTAACAATACAGCGTAATAACAAACTACAGAATTCAGTTGAAAAGGCTGAACTCATCGGATGGATACAACCTATAGAAATACATCTAAAAAGAACACAGAGTGGACGTGACCGGGTACTTGTACATCCCAAAGACAAAAAGACACCAAATACAGACCTGATAGTACTCGCAGTTACTGACAGCTAGTTCAAAGCCAATTACAACTAATAAATCAATCAGTTCACATCCAACATTCAATGAATTTAGTGCAAAGACGTCATAAACAGTAAGAGAAAAACATGACCTTGTGCAATGCCAAGAAACAAGAATCGACAGATTGTAGAGCCATGAATATGCTTATGTATATAACAATAATTAGTTTTTTTTAATTTACTGATACATTTTGTTACAGTTAGCCTTGAATGTTTTTTTTTGTTTGTTTTTTGATTGTTTTTGTTCATTAATATGTTTCGGAGTTTAGTTTGACGTCCGTTTTTGCTGAACTAGTATACATTATTGAAGACCCGTTGGTGGCCTTGTGGTGTTTTCTGCTCTTTAGTCGGATTGTTGTCCATTTCCGTTAATTTGATGTCATAGATCCTCCCTTTGAGTATAGACATATTTCTTTACGTCAATTCAAATGTTTTTGTCATATAAATCAACTGATAGGATGTGTGACTAAATCAAACAAAAAACACGTACTTTAAATGCATATATATAAACGAACATTATGTACACGAGACAAAGTGGCTATTGTCAAAGAGACACTGGTTTTATGTCATCTTCTTAAAGTACCTTTTACAAACAACATCACCAACAAACAGTGTCTGAAAATAAAAAGGAAGTAGTTGAATAACTTTCAATAAGAGATAGACGAAATTTAGAGAAATTCTATTAAAAAATCATATTTCATATATGCAGATATTTTGGTATGCTGATAATAAGGAGCTGACCTACCACGTCCGTACAGCTGTATCTGAGATGTGATTGAACAGATTGATTGATATGGGTTTGGGAGAAAGGGACATTTTGTTGGTTGAATACGCTATTTCGTATCTATCTATCTATCTATCTATCTATCTATCTATCTATCTATTTATCTATCTATCTATCTATCTATCTATCTATCTATCTATCTATCTATCTATCTATCTATCTATCTATCTATCTATCTATCTATCTATCTATCTATCTATCTATCTATCTATCTATCATTCATTCATTCATTCATTCATTCATTCATTTATTAATTTTTTATCTATCTATCTATCTATCTATCTATCTATCTATCTATCTATCTATCTATCTATCTATCTATCTATCTATCTATCTATCTATCTATCTACCTACCTACCTACCTACCTACCTACCTACCTACCTACCTACCTACACCTACCTACCTACCTACCTACCTACCTACCTACCTACCTACCTACCTACCTACCTATCTATCTATCTATCTCATTCATTCATTCATTCATTCATTCATTCATTCATTCATTCATTCATTCATTCATTCATTCATTCATTCATTCATTCATTCATTCATTCATTCATTCATTCATTTTTTTTTTACTTATTATTCGGATTGATGTTACATAGAAAATGAAAGGATATGGAGTAAATGTACATGGGACAAAATCGCACACAATACATAGAAAATGATTAATGAACAGGGCTTTTATTCCTTTACTCTTCTGTATAAGAACCAAGAATAGAGATCTCTGCCAAGGTTAACAGTTGATATTATATTACCGAAATTATGTCCGAAAGGGTTAAACACGGTAGGAAGAGTAGCGATAAAATTGAAGCGAGATATGAAAAAAATGCTCAATTAAATAATTATTACTTAACTAATGAAATACCATGCTGTCCGGTAGTAAATGGGGGAAATGTTTCATTTGTTACCTTACCTTTTGTCCACACAGACAAATATATCTTGTCTAATTTTAATGAAAGAGAACGTTTCCTAACCAACCCGTTACACCTTAGCTCTCAAGGGTCGTTCAATTCTCTACAAAAAAACGCGAATGAGATAAGAACCAAAAACGTACACAAATAAACGAGGTCTAGTGTCCACAGGCATTTGTCTCAGAAAAAAAATCATATATTTATAGATTATTGTTGGTCATCTCAACGAGATTGATTTTCTCGCTTGAGCCGGTACAGCTAAAGTGAGAAAAGCAATCGAGTTGAGATGACCAATTATAATCTGTTTATCGCTATTTTACCTATGATGACGGTTGTTAATTTCATTGACAACTGCACGTGCTACCTTAGTTTCTTGCGAAAAATTTTCATATCACTCTACTGTACTGAGAAAGGAAATTATTTAGTAAGATCAAAAGAAAATTTTGAAAATAGCGATAAACATTAATATAACATGTTATAACACGTGTTATATAAAGTTTTATAGGGAAAATATTTCTGAGACATTTGCCTGTGCTAGTTTCACACGCACCAAGTGTCAGCCTTTTATCTACATATGTATTCAATTTGTTAAACCGTTGACCTATTGTTTATTATATTCTTTTCCTGGACATATAAAAGTATGTGATACTGTTAAGCTATCTGTAAGCAATTATTAACAAGAAATATAACTTAACTTCGACATTTATGAATAACATGTAATACTTACCATAACTAGTTCGTCACCAACAATTTCACGATGTACTGTTTGAGGTTTCATCTTATTTTTAGGATCTATTGGAGTTTGTACGATAATAAGTTTTCCTTCTTCATATTCTCCTTTAGCCTGTTAATAAAACAAGCATACTTTTAGTAAATTAATTACATAACAAAAAAATAAAAACAGTCAGGAACCTGATGTTTAGTGGTTGTCGTTTGTTAATGTGGTTCATAATTGTTTCTCGTTTCTCTTATTTGTCGAGCCTGCGACTTTTGTCGCAAAAGCGAGACATAGCGATCCTACATTCCGTCGTCGGCGTCGTCGTCATCGTCGTCGTCATCGTCGGCATTGGCATCTACAAATAATCACCCTGTAGTTAAAGTTTTTGAAATTTTAAAACTATCCTGGATTTCTACCAAACTTGGACAGAAGCTTGTTTATGATCATAAGATAGTATCCAGAAGTAAATTTTGTAAAAAAAAATCCTGTTTTTTCTTATTTAACTTATAAATGGGCTTAGTTTTTCTGCCAGTTAACATTACATTCACTCTGTGATTAAAGTTTTTAAAAAATTTAATAACTTTCTTAAAATATCCTGGATTTATACCAAACTTGGACAGAAGCTTGTTTATGATTATAATATAGTATCCAGAATTAAATTCAAGGAATTGAAGGACAAGGGTTTTCAAAGTCTTGAGGAGCAATCATTACAAAAGAGAAATAAAACGAAAAGTCAAAAACAGTATAAGGTCAACTTTGCCTGGGGAAGATCGAATCTAAGTTTCTGAATAATTCTTCCATGTATCAATGAAATATGTAAGAAAAGAATGTCATAAATCAAGTCAGTAGCCTACATTCGGAATATGCGTGTTTGTTCTAATTTAGACAACTCGTATGCATGATAAAAGAATAAACATTCACTAAAGGCTAATTATCATATCATATAACCTAGCGACACGGGCGGATACAGGTGTTGGCCCCGCTTCCGTAAAGGGCGAACTTTATTTCACTTGTTTATTTATCACATATTACAAAACAAAAGCAGCTTTTTTTTCCATTGCCGTACCTTAGTTATTCAATTTTGTAATTTTAGTTGAAATATAATTCTTGAAAAGTTTCTTTGTGAAACTAACTCTATAGGTTGACTTGGGTATAGAAATCGGGTCATTCCTCTAATCGGACTTTAAAACTCGTAAAGATCGAGGCGTCCATTTGGCAGTGCGAAATGTGTAAATACACAGCCACGTTCGATCGACTTTGTTATATCCAATATCTCGTTTAGAAAAAGTGTATCCAGCACGTTGAGGAACCCTTGCAACATATATCTGTTGCAATTTTCTGCCATATCCAATATTCCTTTGTTTTCCTGTATGTGGCAGTCAAAATTTCCGCCCTTCATTTCGGTTCAACCACGTTTTAACCACTTTACGAAACATATCTGATTAACTTGTTTTCGTTCTTCATATGCATGATGTATTAGCAACTAACCACTAACCACTAACCATACAACAATCATTCAAATATAGTGATTGAATAAAAAGATATGATATATATATATATATATTAGCTTCTGGCTTTACGTCTATATTCAAATATGAAAAAGAGATATGGTATGACTGCCAATGGAACAACTATCATTATCTTACCTCCTATACATTTCTAGGAATGTGATTGGTTAAAAGCGCCCTTGCGGAGACCGTGTATATTTCATATTAGGTTAGTAGGGAGGCGGGGCTTATCTCATACACGGTTAGTAGTGGTGTTACGTCCCTTTATATTCCTTATAAGGTAGTAGGGAGGCGGGGCTTATTTCATACACGGTTAGCAGTGGTGTTACGTCCCTTTATAAAAACAAAACGGTTACTGAGAAAAAATCGTTAAGGTTTCAACAGACGAAGAAAGTGATGATTAAGATTGAAATTAATTCATAAAACACATTTAAACCTAACAAGTTGTTATTGTTGGTATCTGTTTTTGTAGGATCAATGGAAGTAGTTTCTTAATGCTAACAGTATTGAAGACTTGCTCATTTGATAGGTCACTAGTCTAAATTTCACACGTTAAGATAGTCGGTAAGATAAATTCGTTACAGGTGTAATACCACCAAATCATAGTACGTCACATCCGGTTGCATACGAAAATAGGTCGAAAAAAAAAATTCCCTTGAATTTGACAGTTGTAGGTAATTGATCCTACATTTCATTGCAGTAAAACATTTCTGAGTCATAAACATATATCTTGGGTATTTCAAAGCACCATTATTTCTTTATTTGGGGTTTCTATAGAATATTTTGGAAACTTGAGGTTACATGGTTACTAAAGCTTGTACACAGGTTAAAAAAGGGGGAAAATTTGATTGGTTAACTTCCAGTGATGGTTATTTTCTTATATGCAATGAAATGTTATGTGAAATTTTTTCTATAGTACTGGACAGGATAAAACTTTACTCATGCCAAGTATTTCTTTATTTGAAACAAAGATAAATTCTGCACAATTTTTTGAAAAGTGCAAATTTAACAAAGACTAATAGGGGAAAATCAATGGTGGTATTACACCTAATATGGGAAGCTGTACATGCACCTTTGACCTTGTGAGTACTCTCATGTGTTAAAATTTCTTGCTATTTAAGTGAAATATTACAAATAATGAAATATTCTGAGTGGATTGAGTCTCCAAAATACATTTTATGAGAAAATTTCCTTGAAATAGGACTTTACCATGAATATTAGATGACAGAACAAGCCATACTTAGAGTCTTGGGGAGCTTTTTCTCCTTATTTCTTATATTCTGCTATACTAGAAAATTTTTCCTAAGAAATACTTTAATAAATATATAGTTTTAAGTAAATGAAATTATTTTTAAAGCAGTAACAACAAATTATTCACCAAAAGAGAAGTTTTTTATGTCCCTCTCTGGAACGCGGCGTGAATTTAAGTTTTACGCAAGGACTTATTGAAACCTCCTTGGAGACAGTAAACTTTTATACGGATAGTTCAAGCAGCTTGAATACTTCAATTAATCATTTATAATAACATTTCTATCATAAATGAGTGAAAGTTACCCCAAAATTTTTATTTATTGGCCTAAAAAGTAGAAATTTTGAGGAAATGAGAGGTATAAATGGACCAAAAGAGACTTTATAAGGAAGAATAAGAGGTCCATTAGTAGTATTTATCATCCTAAAGTCATCTTTTGTATCATATTCAACTGTTTGTAGGCAGATGAGATAAATATTTGATCATTTATTGGTCCACACTATATTCTATCATGATGCGGCTTGGTTTGAATTTTTCGAAGAAATTTTGCTCGAATCGCTGTAGATGTCGTCTTACATTATACTAGATTTTTCTCAAACTATTGAACTGATTATGACAAAACTTGACAGGAATGCTTGAAATAACCAGTATTACAAAGGAAAAAAGTCACATTCAGTTTATTCAACAAAAATGTCTTCTTTAGGTGTAATACCACCAAATCATAGTACGTCACATCCGGTTGCATACGAAAATAGGTCGAAAAAAAAAATTCCCTTGAATTTGACAGTTGTAGGTAATTGATCCTACATTTCATTGCAGTAAAACATTTCTGAGTCATAAACATATATCTTGGGTATTTCAAAGCACCATTATTTCTTTATTTGGGGTTTCTATAGAATATTTTGGAAACTTGAGGTTACATGGTTACTAAAGCTTGTACACAGGTTAAAAAAGGGGGAAAATTTGATTGGTTAACTTCCAGTGATGGTTATTTTCTTATATGCAATGAAATGTTATGTGAAATTTTTTCTATAGTACTGGACAGGATAAAACTTTACTCATGCCAAGTATTTCTTTATTTGAAACAAAGATAAATTCTGCACAATTTTTTGAAAAGTGCAAATTTAACAAAGACTAATAGGGGAAAATCAATGGTGGTATTACACCTACATAGTGTGCTAGTGACCTAATACGGTATCACTACAAACCAGTAAAAGTCTGAAATGGCCTATATCTGTACTCGACTGTACTGATTTTTACTCGACCAGTCTGAATTGGTCTGAATTTTACTCGACATTACTCGACCCCAGTCTTAACCATACTCGACTGTACTGATTTGTACTTGACCCTTATCTTTGCCATTGAAAATAGTCTGAACTGTTACTCGACCAGTCTGAAACAGTCTTAACCCATTCTCGACCTGTACTCGACCTATTTTTTTCAGTCTGAACCATACTCGACCAAAGGTCTGAACAATACTCGACCAGTCTGAACCATACTGGACCAAATAACCTCTACTTTTTCTAAGTTTTAACTGTTAAAATAATTTCTTTTTAACTGACATGACAACAGCCACAATAAAATAAAGATATGTTATAAAAACAGATTTTTACATTCTTACATGATTCTCAGATTTATCGAAAATAGAGATAGTTAAATCAAATTATCTTATATAATAATTTAATTATATTAATTTTAAAGTTTTAGAGTTTTGTTAAAAAAAGATTTTCTTTTACCTAAAAACCACACCTATACTGAGGGTAATTAAACCTTATTAAGGTGCTTCTTGTTTGGCATGTGTTTTTTTTAATTAATTTTCCTAAATTCCTAAATAAAAACTGCATAGGTTTCATGGTTACATACAAAAAATGTACAATAGTTATATAATTATCTTTTTAATGAGGTACATGTAACAACAGCCAACAAAATCACTGAAATTGTTTAACCTTATTTTAGAAATATATCTATTATTATAATTTAGGATATATTATATACAATATATATCAAAAAGGGATAAAAATTAAAGAAATTAATAAAATTGTTCTTCTGATTAGTGGTGAAGTATAAAGTAATACCTCCTGCTTGGGGCAAACTCATGAAAAAGACCACACCTGGTCAGAGAGTATTAAATTCTAAATAACATTCATTCAAAATTGCAACATCCTGTGAAACTTAAATTGCAAGTCCTTTTGAATTCACTAGATAAGTAATACACGAGTTTAAGAAAAATAGGGCTTTCTTTTTACCTGTAAAACACACATGTACTGAGGTAATTAAATCTTATTTAAGTGCTTCTTGTATGCAATGTCTTTAATTTTGACAAAAATTATTTAAATTTAAATAAAATTGAAATAAATTTTTACTGTAACTTTGGAACACATTTCCTTTTTCAAAAGTTTATCACAGGATTACTATGGAAGTCCTATTATCATGATTATATTAAATTCTTGGTTTAACAAAACAAAAGTGTCATTTTATAAATTTATTAAGTTGCTTTATATGCTATTTTATATATATTTTAATAAAAAAAAAGTTCACTGCATTATTAACTAAACTCAACTGACACCATAAATCTATTCAAGGCTTAAGTTAATGGTGAAAATTGTCCAGTAGCCATAAAATATATCTGAAACATTCAAAAAATTTTGAATAACATTGAAAATATTAGTGACAATTCAGTTTTGAGATTATTTGATCAGCTTGTTTTATTTTTATTTTAAAGGTGATATATATGTATGTATATAAGTGTTGATGAATAAGGTGATGAAGTTATATTATGTTTATTGTGAAATTTTGGTTTCAATGCTATATTGAATACATTTTTAATTTCAAATTGTTGTTCAAATTTCTAGCCAGGGAAAATAGCTGTTGTTAAAAACAGTTCCTAAATTGATGAAATACAATAGATAGATACAAAAAATAGGTCTAGGTTGGTTAAGACTTGGTCGAGTATGGTTCAGACTAGGTCGAGTATGGTTCAGACTAGGTTGAGTATGGTTTAGACTAGGTTGAGCATGGTTCAGACTAGGTCAAGCATGGTTCAGATGCATATAAAATGGTTAAGTACTGGTCGAGTAAGGGTCGAGTACAAGTTCAGACTGTTAAGTATGGTTCAGACTACAGTCGAGTATTATCAAGTAAATTTCAGACCAATTCAGACTGGTCGAGTAAAAATCAGTACAGTCGAGTACAGATATAGGCCATTTCAGACTTTTACTGGTTTGTAGTGTATATATGGGGTCAGTAAATTCCATATGGGGTGAGAGCGAAGTGACCTATCAAATGAGCAAGTCTTCAATACTGTTAGCATTAAGAAACTACTTCCATTGATCCTACAAAAACAGATACCAACAATAACAACTTGTTAGGTTTAAATGTGTTTTATGAATTAATTTCAATCTTAATCATCACTTTCTTCGTCTGTTGAAACCTTTACGATTTTTTCTCAGTACCGTTACATAGTGTGCTAGTGACCTAATACGGTCTCACCCCATATGGAATTTACTGACCCCATATATACCGTATTAGGTCACTAGCACACTATGTAGCTAATAATACAGATCAGCCAATGATGTGACAATTATACCGGTCACCGTTCGGCTTTAAAACGAGAGCAATACCCATAACGTATAGTAAGCTATAGTTGTCCCCGTATGTTAACAAATCTGTTTGTTGATTGTTTTCTCTTTATTCAACGGTTCTAAGTTTATCACACACCTATTATCACTTTAGTTATAAATGTGAGAATATGGCGGTATAGTTCATTGAGACAGCATGCAACCCGAGACACCATAGAAAACCTATAAAGGTCAACATACATAGCCTACATAATACAAACCCATAGAAAACCTATAAAGGTCAACATACATAGCCTACATAATACAAACCCATAGAAAACCTATAAAGGTCAACATACATAGCCTACATAATACAAACCCATAGAAAACCTATAAAGGTCAACATACATAGCCTTCATAATACAAATTAATCAGAATCTAAAGGACTATGGGTAATCTCATTGTTCGTACACCAAAATGAAAATAAAGTTGTGTCATTGGTTGAATTTCCATTGTTTAGAATGTGTTAAACCAATCACAAAGTTTTGGTGTACGGTCTTGAAAATATTACCCAGAATGCATAAAATTCTGAAACGGCAAATTAAATATTACCTTCATCCATGTTCCTTGAATTTCCTTCATATATTCTTCACCCAATGACAATTCGTCTACACTAGTAAACAAACCTGTTTTCATTGCAATTTTAATTTTCCCTCCCGACAGAGTGAGTTCTGTTTCAGGTGAAACTTTTGTTGCAACTTTTCTAAGTAATGCATTAACCCCTGAAAGGAATGTTAAAATACTAAAAAAATCTGAAAATTGGAGAGAAAAACATTTTTTTTTCTAACTAATTCCATAAAATTCTATGTGTTCATTTCGTACTATATATTGTTATTGTCATCATTTGTTGTTGGTGTTTGTTTGCCAGCTTGTTTGTTTGATTAATTGTTTTTCTTCTTCTTTTTGTTACAATTTGTTGTGTTTTAATAGCTTATAAACTGTTATAAAAAGCTTTGAAATATTGTAAAGTTATACAAACTTTAAGTTGTCATAATTCCACTCTTCCTTGTGAAACTCTCGATTCTCTTTTTTACTGATTGTTGGATGATTTAGCCGTTCATATGTTTGATCTAACTGAATCGTTTTTACTTGTTTCAATTTCAAATATTATTCATTAGATTTAGTTTATAATTTAAAGCAAGATTTAAATGTCTCCTTTGTTTACATGAAATGAGTTAAAAACCGTTTATCTTATTTGTACATTTGTAGACTTTCAAATGATCTAGTTTTCCTTGATTGCGATATACTGATGACATCATGAGTACTACTTTTCATGTGAGCAATATACGGTGCAGTATACTAGTGTTTATTAATACTTATGTTGTATACACCCTTTGAAAACAAGACGTTATACAATGTAGGGTATGGCAATGGCCGTCAATGAACGACAATAGATATAAGAAGATGTGGTATGAGTGCCAATGAGACAACTCTCCATCCAAGTCAAAATTTATAAAAGTAAACCATTATAGGTCAAAGTATGGTCTTCAACACGGAGCCTTGGCTCACACCGAACAGCAAGCTATAAAGGGCCACAAAAATTACTAGTGTAAAACCATTCAAACGGGAAAACCAACGGTCTAATCTATATAAAAAACGAGAAACGAGAAACACTTATGAACCACATCAACAAACGACAACTACTGAACTTCAGATTCCTGACTTAGGACAGGTGCAAACAATGACAACTCTGATTTGCTCTACCAATTATCATATTATTTTAACAAAACATTAGGATAGATGGGAAAACAAATTGGCCATTTCGTTCCAGAATTACGGAATTTACCTATTAGACTAAAGCGATTTTTTACATATAGACTTTCTTTAGTACGGAAACGTATTAGGCCCATCCTTTGTTTATTTATTTTTTAAATTGTCGACTTTGATCTTGGAATTATTAACTTTAAACTTTGAATTTCCAGCTTTGATCTTGGAATTATCAACGTTAACTTGGAATTATCAACATTAATCTTGGAATTATCAACTTTAATCTTGGAATTATCAACATTACTTTTGGAATTATCAACTTTAATCTTGGAATTTCCAACTTTAATCTTGGAATAATCAACAATTTGAAAAAAAAATAGAAAAAAGGATGGCCCTAATACGCTTCCGTACTTTAGATTGTCTGGATTGATTTCCTGAAAACCTTTTTATTATTGTTGAGTTTGATAAAAGGAAGCTTCCTTTAATTTTGTTTTATTTTCTTGTTTGTCTCACCAATGTTACATTAATTTCATTTAATTATCAGAACTATATAAAATTTTCACATGCAACATAAATTGGTGAATATAGCACAGTGTTCAGCTGAAAGGAAAACCGAACCGATTATAGTGGTTCCAGGGTAATGGGACTTAACTGTCAAATAAATAAAAGACATTTTTGTCATGCGTTAGCTCTAGTATGCTTGCATCAATGATTTACAAATTCGACACTGTTATTGGGCCTGATGAATGTAATGGGACTTTTAACAGTTATATTTGACGCAATGTTATTACGTCTACTGGTATCCGCATGCATGTTTTCTGCAGATCTATTTTATTTGATTCTGATTAAATGGATTCTAAATTTCACATCTAATTTTGGGAACAATTTCGATTTGCACAATAAGGGCGTATCATGTGCTCTTGGTGCAACTAGTTATTACTTATGATTTTGATATTCTCAATATTATCATAGATACTTAGCACATAACAATTTGTTTTAGCCCTCATCCTTTTTTGTCCAAAATTCGTTATTTTTTGTTTTCAATTAGTTTAAATTATTTCCGCGTTTTTCTGTATTATATGAACATAAATATACTAAAAATAACTTGTATCTGTTATTTACTTTCAATTACAAGTTTACTTTCTACAGCAGTCACTAACATATATTATAAAGAATTTTGGAAAAAAGGGGGAAGGCTAAACAAACAAATATACTGTCCCCAAGTAACTATGATCGTTATTCGATATAAGAGTGCTTTGCATGTACTGATTGTATCTTATATTAGTCCACTCATCTAGAATTTAAAACAAAGGATAGGAGCTTCACCCATATCCCCCCCACCCCCCCCCCCCCCCCCCCCCACACCCCCAAGGATAACAAAGAAAACACATCCTTCGCATGCATTATCACCTACATGTGTATGCAAAATTTAATAACAGAACAATTGATGAAACAACAAATATTTGTACATAACAGTGGCTCAGAGATAAGTGCACGACAACTTCGTAAGATCTGTACATACCAACCTCTTGTAGAAATGCTTCAAAGTTTTCACTTTTGTATATTTTCCATCTCCCTCCGAATTTCTGTTCAACCTCTGTATAAGCTTCCATTGTTTAACTTTATAAACATACGATTTTAATTTGAATATGAAATTGAACTTTGTTACGACGACCCGCTATCGTGGAAATTTTATTTGTTTTATCTATCTTTATATATTATACATATCTATACAAATGTGATTTTTAAAACTGTGTGATTTGTCACAACTGTTTGTGTCATTTAAGGCTATCAGTGTATGATAAATAAAGTTAAATATTTGTTTATCTATTCAAAAATTGACAGTATACTTTAAAATGATTTTTTTCCTAATAGCGTAAATTAATATTGTTTAGGTGTCTTCTGAAGCCTGTTTTGGGTGCGGAAGTTTCTCGATGTGTAAAAGGGACTGTTTTCTGCCCTTTGGTTGGCTTGTTGTCTCTTTGACTGACACATTCCCCGTTTTCATTCGCTATTCTAGTAGTCAATGTGATCTTTAAAGTTTTTATTTATTTTCATTCAAAATAATAGAAGTTGGATGATATCAAGGGTCTATTATAGATATTTGATTCACTACTTTGTTAAAATAAAACAGCAAGCGGACAATTTGACAACCACTCTGTGTAATACCATCCTTCTACTTTGTATGCACTTTTTTCTGAAGGTTCTTCGTTATACAATTTTCAAACTAAACTGTCGATATCGACATGTACTGATACCACTTCTGCTTTCAATTTTTTTTTGGTTGGACAATATAAATGAAGGAACGCTCAGAATTAAAAGGACATTTGTTTTTGATTCTAGAAACATAGTGGTACGAATCGCAACTAGAACCGTTAATGGATTCTTAAACAAAATATAAATAAAAATGTTCTCTGTTCTAAGGGTGTTTGTTTTGGTTTAAAGTTTTTTACCGGGTCCAAATTTGAATTGAAAGAGACACAGAAACGAGACAATAACTAAACGATACAAATAACAAACACTCATTCTGGGGTAACATAAAATCTTCATTAAATTTCAGGTGTCCGTCTATGACTATAACCAAAAGATACTATGGGGGATGGGAGGTAATGTCTTCTACAAAATATTATCCGTCTATACAAATAACCAACAGATATCTAAGAGCTGCATACAGTTTTCAACAAGAGACAGGAGTCAATTGACACGATGGGTTCCACATATGGAGCAGTATCTGCTTACCTTCGGGAGCACATGAACTCATCCCTGTTTTTGGTGGGGTTCGTGTTGTACAGATCAGTGTTTTGTTTTGTGTACTGTTGTTTGGCTGTTTTTTTTTCTATTTTAGACATGGCGTTGTCAGTCTATTTTTGACTTACATGTATGTGTTTGAATCTCCTTTCTCTCTGTTACACAGTTAAGAGACATTTGTCCGTCCATATTAAAGAGCGGTTTAAGTTTATTCAATAATAACCAAGAGACATCTAGGTACCAGCATACAGTCTTCAATAAGAGACTGGTTTCTATCTATACAAGAATTAAGTGTAATAACCAAGATATATCTTGAGGTCTTGAGGTCTATAAACAATCTTCAACAAGAAGCAGGTGTCCGTATATACAATGTACTTGTAAGACAGTACACAGTCCTCAGCAAACGACAGGTGTCTGTTTATACAATATGCCAAACTCTGAATCGCTCCAAGACTAACAAAGTTCTCATAAATCAAACAGAAACTTTCAAAGATCTTAATCTCAAAATAACTAAAATGATAATGTTCACAACTCTTTTGTTTAAGTACAATTTGTAAGTTTTCGTTATATTCAAGTGAGAACCTGCATAGTGATAAAACGAAGTTCAAATAAAAGGATTTCTTATCTCAAGGTTGACAATAAAATAAGTCTTTCTGCGAAATACAATTTTATTTATGATAGTCCTATTTTTTTTCTATTAAAAGTCCATAGAAACAGAAATGACTAAAGTATCGGCAGTAGCAGCATCTGTAAAATAACAAATAAACAATTGTAAGTTTTTTTCAAAGTTAATCCTTTATTTGACTAATCGATCTTAAAAGTGGATTAACAACAACAACAAAAAGAATTAAGAAAGAAAGAACAAATTAAATAAAACTACAAAGTCAGGAATATGACAGTTGTTATCCATTCGTTTGGTGTGTTTGAGCTTTTAATTTTTCCATTTGATTAGGGACTTTCCGTTTTGAATTTTCCTTGGAGTTCGGTATTTTTTGGGATTTTCCTTTTTACCCTATAATATTCATGTACCTGTTCAAAGTTTAAAACCTCGTCATTCGTTGTTTTGTATGGTAGTATTAGAGTATCAAAGATTGAATGGATTAAACTTGCCGATATGTAGTTTTTGTCTACTTGAACTTGATATTTTCAAGGTATATTATTTAAAGGTACAGGCCTTAGGTTATCGTTCGTGTGTCAAATTACACCTCTGTTAAAAATTCTGAAGAGAAATTTCGCATAATAAAAGAAAAATAACATGATAGATACACATGTGAGCTGAATCAAATATTTTTTAAAATGCTTACAGGATATATATATAGAGAAAATTTTGTCACCATTCTCGTCTTGTTTTTAGAAAACAAAATTTTGATAAACTTACAATACATTCTTCAATGAAACCTAATTATTATAAGGTACATGTATAACAACTCCTTGTATACCAACGAGTTTACATATTCAATCAATAAAAAAATCATGCATTTGTAATAAAATATTTCACCATTGAAAACAATTGTATGAATGTCCGACAGTTTGTGACAAAGTTTTCAAAAACTCCCATTCTTAGTCTTGCTAAAGACTATACTTTTGCTAAAGATTTACTTTTTGTTTTATTTTATTTGGTTTTTTTTTGTCACTAGGCTTGGGGAACTTCGAGTTTAATAGCCAATTTTTGATAATCTGTGTTACCATCATACCAGCAAGTTATTTGAAGTCAGAAATTAAAAGAGCTTGGAAACTCAGTTGACAGCGCGGTAAGTTAATGTGGTGTACTGTAATTTGCCGCGTTACATGCGTAGTTGTTGATTGATAAATGAGAGATATACTTTATTATGCTTTAATTTTTTTTTATAAGGAGATTTGGATTTGCTGGTAAATCTTTGATAATTTGAATCACAATTAATACAAGTTTTTTGTAAAAAGAATGATAAATCTATGCATTGCAGTAATACCTTTTGTTCAATTGCGTCCATTTTTGGTGTACATGCACACTGGATATTTGTTGAACTGACCCCATGTACATATATCATGTTTGTCCTCTACACAGAACCAACCATAATCATTAGAACATCCGTTATATCTTTCATTGATATAAAACCTCCTCCTCTACACAGAACCAACCCTAATCATTAGAACATCCGTTATATCTTTCATTGATATAAAACCTCCTCCTCTACACAGAACCAACTATAATCATTAGAACATCCGTTATATCTTTCATTGATATAAAACCTCCTCCTCTACACAGAACCAACCATAATCATTAGAACATCTGTTATATCTTTCATTGATATAAAACCTCCTCCTCTACACAGAACCAACCATAATCATTAGAACATCTGTTATATCTTTCATCGATATAAAACCTCCTCCTCTACACAGAACCAACCATAATCATTAGGACATCTGTTATATCTTTCATCGATATCAAACCTCCTCCTCTACACAGAACCAACCATAATCATTAGGACATCTGTTATATCTTTCATTGATATAAAACCTCCTCCTCTACACAGAACCAACCATAATCATTAGGACATCCATTATATCTTTCATTGATATAAAACCTCCTCCTCTACACAGAACCAACCATAATCATTAGGACATCCTTTATATCTTTCATTGATATAAAACCTCCTCCTCTTCACAGAACCAACCATAATCATTATGACATCCATTATATCTTTCATTGATATAAAACCTCCTCCTCTACACAGAACCAACCATAATCATTAGGACATCCATTATATCTTTCATTGATATAAAACCTCCTCCTCTACACAGAACCAACCATAATCATTAGGACATCTTTTATATCTTTCATTGATATAAAACCTCCTCCTCTACACAGAACCAACCATAATCATTAGGACATCTGTTATATCTTTCATTGATATAAAACCTCCTCCTCTACACAGAACCAACCATAATCATTAGGACATCTGTTATATCTTTCATTGATATAAAACCTCCTCCTCTACACAGAACCAACCATAATCATTAGGACATCCATTATATCTTTCATTGATATAAAACCTCCTCCTCTACACAGAACCAACCATAATCATTAGGACATTCTTTATATCTTTCATTGATATAAAACCTCCTCCTCTACACAGAACCAACCATAATCATTAGGACATCAGTTATATCTTTCATTGATATAAAACCTTCTCCTCTACACAGAACCAACCATAGTCATTAGAACATCCTTTATATCTTTCTTTGATATAAAACCTCCTCCTCTACACAGAACCAACCATAATCATTAGGACATTCTTTATATCTTTCATTGATATAAAACCTCCTCCTCTACACAGAACCAACCATAATCATTAGGACATCTGTTATATCTTTCATTGGTATAAAACCTCCTCCTCTACACAGAACCAACCATACTCATTAGGACATCCTTTATATCTTTCTTTGATATAAAACCTCCTCCTCTACACAGAACCAACCATAATCATTAGGACATTCTTTATATCTTTCATTGATATAAAACCTCCTCCTCTACACAGAACCAACCATAATCATTAGGACATCAGTTATATCTTTCTTTGATATAAAACCTCCTCCTCTACACAGAACCAACCATAATCATTAGAACATCCTTTATTTCTTTCTTTGATATAAAACCTCCTCCTCTACACAGAACCAACCATAATCATTAGGACATTCTTTATATCTTTCATTGATATAAAACCTCCTCCTCTACACAGAACCAACCATAATCATTAGGACATCAGTTATATCTTTCATTGATATAAAACCTTCTCCTCTACACAGAACCAACCATAATCATTATGACATCCATTATATCTTTCATTGATATAAAACCTCCTCCTCTACACAGAACCAACCATAATCATTAGGACATCCATTATATCTTTCATTGATATAAAACCTCCATTTCTACACAGAACCAACCATAATTATTAGGACATCTGTTATATCTTTCATTGATATAAAACCTTCTCCTCTACACAGAACCAACCATAATCATTAGGACATCCATTATATCTTTCATTGATATAAAACCTCCTCCTCTACACAGAACCAACCATAATCATTAAGACATCCATTATATCTTTCATTGATATAAAACCTCCTCCTCTACACAGAACCAACCATAATCATTAGGACATCCATTATATCTTTCATTGATATAAAACCTCCTCCTCTACACAGAACCAACCATAATCATTAGGACATCCTTTATATCTTTCATTGATATAAAACCTCCTCCTCTACACAGAACCAACCATACTCATTAGGACATCCATTATATCTTTCATTGATATGGAACCTCCTCCTCTACACAGAACCAACCATAATCATTAGGACATCTGTTATAACTTTCATTGATTTAAAACCTCCTCCTCTACACAGAACCAACCATAATCTTTAGGACATCTGTTATAACTTTCATTGATTTAAAACCTCCTCCTCTACAAAGAACCAACCATAATCATTAGGACATCTGTTATAACTTTCATTGATTTAAAACCTCCTCCTCTACACAGAGCCAACCATAATCATTAGGACATCTGTTATAACTTTCATTAATTTAAAACCTCCTCCTCTTCACAGAACCAACCATAATCATTAGGACATCTGTTATAACTTTCATTGATTTAAAACCTCCTCCTCTACACAGAACCAACCATAATCATTAGGACATCCATTATATCTTTCATTGATATAAAACCTCCTCCTCTATACAGAACCAACCATAATCATTAGGACATCTGTTATAACTTTCATTGATTTAAAACCTCCTCCTCTACACAGAACCAACCATAATCATTAGGACATCCTTTATATCTTTCATTGAATAAAAACCTCCTTGAATGAACATTATTAACGAAATGCCTGCAATATTTGAAAAAAAAACTTGACGGACGTTATCAATTATCTTTTATTGATATAAAACCTCCTTGTAATTGGATTTTGAATGAAATGAATTACATACAGAAATTATAATAAAAAACCCAGAAACATGTCCTATAACGGGTAATGTAACTAAGTATAATCATTTTAAGGTTAAATCATTTCAACAATCCTTCATTTCTTAGTAAAATTATTTAATTTCCAGTGTATTAAAAGATGATATAATCAATAATCAACAAAAATTACCAGAGGAACTGGACAATAAAACAGACAACACTAACAACCAAGTTGAACAATAGACTTCCCCCTTCCCCCCCCCCCCCCCCATTCAAAGACACAAAACAAAGAACATCACGTGGTCCATACAGTCTGACCATATTTGGGTTGCTGTTTCATAAAGATATTCCCACATCTCCTATTGTCCATTGTCATATGTTTAATGAATTGTATAGTTGTGTTAACAAATGTATCAGTAGAAATTTGAACAGATCTTTTGCTCATACATTTTGACTAATTTCCGGACTAAATTTTCCGAGTTATACCGATGGAGAATGAGCTCGTATGATATAATGTTTAGATTCCTGTTTCCTTAGGGAATTATTATGCGTCTAGATAGAGGCGTTTGGTTCCGAAACTGGGGTAATATATAGTAACGTGATTTTTGTGTAATGTAGCTTAGATGATGTCATTTTTTTATAGTACACATTAGAAATTAGTGAAAAAAATGGTCAATATCAAAAGATGAAGTTTCATATAGCACAATTTGTACAAAATATCTTTTTAATACTACATTAATGAATATTGACATATATCTTCGAAATATTCATCATGTATTCAGAAGAAATTTCAAAGTGATTGAATTCAATACAATTTGAAACATTTCGTTTTTTTTTCTTTATTGTGCATGGGGATATTCCTGTTTATTGTTTTGATTAAATCCCATGATAGGCTTGTAGATTGCGGTCCATCTTAAATATTTCGATGACAAGTTTAGTTCAAATCATTTATAGTAATTTAGACTTTACTGAAATTATCAAAGCAAAGTTGATTATGTTATAGTACATTTTTTGTCAATGATCTTTTTTGTCAATGATCAAAATGTTGGTATCTCTTTAAATGGACATTACTCTTTGAGAATTCATCAATATTTTTTTATAGATTTTTACAGCTTTAAGGTATGATAGAACTAACCTTACCGCAGAACCAACACACACACACATTACAGCAGAGCAGGATCTGCTTACCCTTCCGGAGCACCTGCGATCACCCCCAATTTTTGGTGGGATTCGTGTTGCTTAGTCTTTAGTTTTCTATGTTGTGTCATCTGTACTATTATTTGTCTGTTTGTCTTTTTATTTTTGGCCATGGCGTTGTCAGTTTGTTTTCGATCTATGAGTTTGACTGTCCCTCTGGTATCTTTCGTCCCTCTTTTACAACAATTATAAAACAAAAGAGTATTGATAGCCGCCTGCGTTTTTGCCTGCCACTATGTTTTTGGATATTTAAAAATTAACCTTCGGCAGAGAAATAAACCGTTTTGTTTATCCTTTCCTTCATGAATTAACGATATGTTCTTCATTTCAATTAGAATATGACCGCCACGGTAGTCTCGTAGTAGCGTGCTCGCCTGGAGTGCAAACGATCATGGGATCGACCCCGGTCTAGTCAAATCAAAGACTCGAAAAATGATATTTCCTACGCTAAGCAAGCGGCATTTAGAAATAAGATCAAAGACTGGTCGGATTGGAGTCAAAATAATGTGTATTGGAGGGTGATATGTCTTCCGGCAAAAAAATTGTTACCTTGGGATCTAGAACGTTGAAAATCACTCTCATCGTGTCTTTAAACATAACTTGGTTTACATTCGTATTACAGTATCATGTTCTCGTCCTGAAGATGCATTTAATTTGCCACTGGACTTTAACCATATATCCATCCATAGATTTATGTATTATAATAAAGTATCTATTCATAAAGAATTTTCCTTTAAGACAATAATTATATAATACCATGTTGACGTTCATTTCTGTCCAGTGATCAATAACATGGTTACTAAAGTGTTTTCCTCTGTCTGCTCTTTTGAGTATGGTTGGTAGTTCACTACACATCGATGGGGTTCTCCAAGAATCATATACTGACTGTCCATTCTTTTCAAAGGCTACGAAAACGGGAAACCACACTAAAAGTTTAAATATAAGATTAATGTAATTCACAAACTGCCTATGATGGAACACATTATCATTTCAAAACAAATCGATTAAATCATAAAATTTACAAATATGTACTTGAATACTTACCAGCAGAATGAACGATGGATACAAACGAAAACACACACAAACAAAATAACACTTTTGTCATATTTGATTTCCAGGTATTGTTTGCTGCGTTTGCTACTCCAATAATGTCCTAAACTAATTTCATCATACAGTTAATACATATATTGAAATTAAGAATTCGATAGCATCATATTACAAAAGTTAGTAACAGATGGAAAAGTATATGTTTCATGTACGTTATATTATTCATATATCATATTTTCCATTTCTTGGGTTTTTGATTTATTCTTCCAAACAATGATCAAGGTAAAAAAAAAAGGATTGGTCAAATTGGTGATTTTTGTAAAAACAGCGTAAATAGAAATTATCCTTTTTTATATGTGCTTATCTATCTTTGTCAAATGATAATATTTATTGAACCATAGAAAAATAATTGCCAATTCGACAAAGATCCAAATGAGGTTGATGTAAGCAGCTATATGTCACGGTGCGGACTATAACAATGATCAGAACCATACCGTAATGTAGCTTTATGTAATATATAATCACTGGTACATAGTTGTCAGAATGGCAATTAGTCAAATCAAGTTAATTACAGTTTAAACTCCATTTACTGGTACAAATAAAAATATTCAACCAGTGTAAGGTAAAATTCTGTACGTCCGGTAGAATAAGAAGCAATGATTATGTCATTGTTTTTACATAATTTTTTTTCGAAGGAGTCGGTTGCTGGTGATTGGCATGGTCTGTTATAAAGTTGTGCTGTTCTTTGTTTTTTTTCCTGTTATCTTTTTTATCTGTTATACTTAACAACTCTACGAGTACAATATGGTGGAAGTGTAGTGCAGTAGAAACGCAAAGGGAATAACTGCATCGATAGATAGGTTATATAGAAACCGTAATACAACTGCAAGGTAGATGGCTTGGTTCTGATTATAATAACATGTTTTTGTTCCTTGATTTATCACGTTCTTTTTGCGTGAACCCTGAACCCATATAAATTAGTTAGAAATATAGTCTATGGAGGAATATTCGGAAGCTAAATTATTGTTCATTCGGAACACCTATTCATCTTATCTATATTAGCTTCCTGCAATTAAGAGCACCTCCATACGGGGTATCTAAGATATTGAAAACATGGCAATAAAGAATTTTCACAGATCGCTAATTCACTTATCTGATAAATGATAATAAACAATCTAATGAATCTATAGATCCTTTTCAAACATGTATGTTTATTGTAAAGCTACATTTTATGCATTGCAAATGTTTACTGATTTGAGCAAAGGTGACAGTTGTACCTTTTGATAAACAATTGAAAGTTAAATGGTCTAGATTTAATTATAACGACCTATGGTATCAAACATCTGTGTCTAGATATTCACAGAGAGATATTTAAAAATAGTGCTGTGGTTTCTACATAATGAGTTCTAGTGGGCTTTGAGATTTGATTTGTAACAATAAAATCATTATGCACACTTGTCATTTTGATAAATCAGATAAAAAAATCTGTTTCAAATGAAAATAAAACAAGTGAAATAAAGACTGTTCGTTCATATACAGTTTCCTCTTTACAGTATTCTCTATCAATTAAGTTATCTTGTAAGTTAATTAAATGTTTAGTTAATTCATTGATGTCACTATTATTTCTTATATTATTCACACACTGTAATACTCTTAAATTTATGTGTGTTTTGGATGTGCACTAGTAATTGGTTAATATTGATATGTTTCTGTGTTTTTAATATATGTGACTTAACATAAAGAATGCCATTATTATGAAATCGTTCACCTTTGTACACTTCGGTATCTAAATAGAGGGTGGTAAAAAAAGGGGTGGGGGTCTGAACAAGGAAACACGTGAAATAACAAATCGCAAAAACGTTGCACGGAAAATAAAACTCTGGAAAAACGGAGTCAAGGAATAAAATCGTAAATATTAAGGAAAAAAGTACAAAAATGTATTATTCAGCCGTTCTTAGAGATCATGCAGTCATTATAAATGGACATGGCAACCCTGCATGTGGTCACCTTTTAGCGTGCGCTAGTTGTATCCGAGTTATCATAGTAATACAATAGACTATTAATAAATATCTTGGGACCAGTTAATTAGTTTATAATTCGAAACAATATCTAGGCTGACTTTGAATTAGTCCCGGTTTACTTTTTTAATCAAATGCGGGTCAAGCACGAGAAATTATAGGGTACCGACACGAAACACGGAAAATAATTAAAACACGAAGCACGCACATCGAACCAAACACGGGAAAACGAGAAATAAAACGTCGAAACACGAAAACACGTTAAATAAAAAGGCCGAAAACGTTGCACGAAAATAACCCTTTATACCACCCTCTAAATAGGTCATACTAGATGTCGACACCTCATATTAGAACTTACGTAGATGGTCAATTCCGTTTGCTAGCTAGGTTCAAGAAATTCTTAACTTGCTTTAATTTGCCTGTGAAGACCATAATATCGTCATTCCTATTGACAGTGTAATTTGATGTTTTCTCTCCATAGGAGCTTATCTAAGATTTTAATGAATAGGAAAGACAGATGCAGCTCTGTGCATGTTGGTGAAAATATTCCACCCATGGGCGCTCCTATAATTTGCTTGTATAACAGTCCATTAAACTTAAATTCATTGTTTCTAAGAATTAATTCAACAAATGCAGTTAAATCTATTTTGTTGAGAATCTTTAAAGTATATTCTCCTGTGTGTCAATTAATTCTAATGCATTGATAATAGTTTCTTCTAAATTATCAATGATCATACTTGTGTACATTGACGTACATCATAGGCAATAAGAATGCATTCTTTTTTGACCTCGTGTGACTCTATTTTATTAATGAAATCTTTTGCATCTTGAATGTAAAAGTTATGCCTCTTCAATAATGGTTTTATAATTAGATTAAGTATAAGTATCTCTCGCGGGAGAGTGACACTTATTGATGATTTGTCGGTAACGAAAATTAATGTGTCCTGCTAGCTGACCAGTTCGCAATTCCTCATTACTTATTTCTAGATTATTTTAATGAATTTTTTGGAAGAAGGTACATGTGTCCCCCATGTTTTGAATCATTATTATTCTTTAAGAAATTATATGTCTGGGAATCTATTTGTTTGTTTGTTCTCCTCGCTTAATATTAAACAGTTCTCTCAACATGCCAAAATTGTCATGATTTATAATAAAAAGAAAATATTATCCTCCACACACATGGCAAAGATAACACCGAGATATAATTTCTTATTCAGTTGAATTGATAATTAAAATAAAAAAGTTCTAAGGTTCACGTATTGTCTTTTTTTAAAGCAACTTGTTACATTATTTCTATTATTTTGTGACGCACTTCAAATCTGACCACGCGATACTGAAAGATTTCGACTGACGAACAGGATGGTCCGCCCATTTCTACATGTTTTGCTCTCTCTCTCTCTCTCTCTCTCTCTCTCTCTCTCTCTCTCTCTCTCTCTCAAATTTTTTAAATTCCTCGGAAGTCACCTGACGGGGGTTGACGTACGATATTCTTATACATGTTACCGGTTACTATTCTTTTAGATTTTTTTTTATCGAGATGGTATATTGAAAATTATGTCAAAGAGCTAAAAGTTCAAAATGTACATACGACTTTTTACATGATAATGATGATCTGAATACTTACACAGCTCACTTTTGAAGGGTTATATGTATCTTTCTATTGATATCCGACATAGAAGCAAACCTTAGTTTGTTGTCTGCAGAACCGGAAAATCGGGTACCTCAAAGTGTCACAATAAAAACAGACAAATGATTATGATGTTATCAAATTATCTGAGAAATTTGTTACTCTATTCATAGAACAAGGGGTAGACACATATTTTTTTACACTTTGGAAAATTGCTAACAAATTTAGATGGTCAAAAGAATCTTGGACACTTCTTTAAGAAAGTGTCCTATCTTTCCAAAACAATTTATAGTAACGTTGCAATGGAAGATAGATAGTTTATAATTATGACTTAACTGAAAATGTAATTTCACACAGCTGAAATTCTTTTTTTCGATATTAAAGACGTCGTACCAATCGTGCGGCCATTTTCTCTCCAAAACGGGGATTTTCGACCATTCAGCACGACCGCACCAAAGCGATCGGTACTAGAATTCCTTGGTAAATTTTAATTTAATAAGTCTCCCCTGTTTATTATAAATAAAGTTTGATTGATTTGATTGAAGGGTTGTCTTTTTTAGGGGGAGGGGGGGGGGGGGGGGTTGGGGGGGGGGGGGGTGCATAATTATGGTGTGTGCAGTATATACTATAAAAAAGAAAGATGTGGTATTATTGAAAATGAGACAACTCTCCACAAGAGACCAAATGACACAGAAATTAATAACTATAGGTCACCGTACGGCCTTCAACAATGAATAAAGCCCATAATGCATAGTTAGCTGTAAAAGACCCCAAATTACAAATGTAAAACAGTTCAACCGAGAAAAACTAACGGCCTGATTTATGTACAAAGCAATGAACGAAAAACAAATATGATAAACAGCAACAAACGACAACCACTGAATAACAGGCTCTTGGGACAGACACAGAATGTGGCGGGATTACACTACTAGTAGTTTGAAGGCGCACCAACCCTCCTCCTAACCTGGGACAGTGGTGTAACAGTACAGCATAAATATATATGTATAATTGTTTGTTGATTGATCATGTTAAATTGAGAATGGAAATGGGGAATATGTCGAGACAACTACCCGACCAAAGAGCAGACAACAGCCGAAGGCCACCAATGGGTCTTAAACGCAGCGAGAAAAATCCCGCACCCGGAGGTGGTCCTCAGCTGGCCCCTAAATAAAATTGTGTACTAGTTCAGTGAAAATGGACGTTTTATACATTTAATAAACTCAGCATCGGCGTTGTTGTGTAGATTTGCACTTGAATTAAAAGTTAATAAGAGTTTTCGTATTCTTCATACTATGATAGTATGTTTTTCAATGGCAATATGATCATGAGGTTACGAACATGATACTTCTTTTTTTGTAGCGAAGTTCAATAAATACAGAACGAGGTTGTCACATGCCAAGAGCACACACATTGTAAAGGCTTAGCAAAAACCGTCAAACAAACATTTGAAGATTATTAAAACGTATGCAGAAAAACAAATACAAATATCATAAAATTAAAAACCCAGCTTATTCTTATTGACAGATGTAAACAATTAATTATAATTATTATATATTAATATCAATTTAACATTGAAACCAATATTGATGGGCATACAATTGACAAACTAACGGAAGCGACAACCGCAGGTGATGATTAAGCTTTCATTCATAAATTTTCGAGGTGAATATCAAAGTTTCCAGTATAAATGCACATATCCAAATTTTAAAGTTCATTTAGAACTAGTAGTATATGCAATCATGCTAGTATTTGAGTTAATGATCCACAGCATATATACCAACTATTGTTGTTTGTTTGTTTGTTGGTGTTTAAACAATTTTCAGCGACCTTAACTTTATCATTGCGGTCAGTTGTTATTTCTAGAGGAAGGCGGAGTATCAGAAGAATACCACCGACCTTCGGTAGGAACACATGGCAATCTTTGTCACTTAAGATTGAAGTTGAACACACAACGCTACTAGCGGGACTCTAAATCACAACATCAGTGATGCATGGCTAGTAATCACTGTCGAAGAAAAATGTAGAACCACCATGCCACGAGGGTCCCTAAATGTTATCGTCATTACGTTTTTAAATGGCCTTTCAAATTAAAACTAGTGTAAATTCAAATTACTGCGTACATTTGTTATTGCAAATAATGCAGAATGGTCTAAAATGCCAGATTAGTTTTTGCTATTCAAAAAAAAAATCTGCTTGCAGTTATATGTATAAAATTAAGTTTTCTATGTTGTGTTTTGTGTTTTGTGAACTGCTGTTTGTCGTTTTCTTTTTTAACCATGGCGTTGTCAGTTTATTTTCGACTTATGAGTTTTAATGTCCCTCTGGTATCTTTCGCCTCTCTTATAAAAGAATGCGAGTTTTTATTAATGCGATATTCATTCAGTCACTTTATTAGCATTAATACATGTAATAAAAACCTCAAAATAATTTCTGAATTTGCAGTCAATACAAATTGTAACCTGTCTATTTAAATGTTTTTCCCATTTTTAAATAACTTTTTTGATCTACCGCCAAGATCATTGTACATGGCGAAAGGTCAAAACCCTTTGAAATCAACTCTTCGTATCAGATAGTTGTAAAACTATCATTTTACACAATTATGAAATGGACGGAGCATTATCGAATTGATAGCTTTACCAACGCATCGTTGATACTAAATTTTAACTGAAACAAAAACCTATTCACTGAAGCTGGCATAGTCTGGGAGTAATTAAGAGATGATTATCATCCCAAATTATCAAACTGTTTGACAATTTATCGAAACAAAACCAAAATTTCATATGATAAACGATTGGTAGCCGAGTTAACGTTGTGTTAAACAATTGTTTGTTCTACTTATCTAAATATTGAAATAGTTCCCCTTAATGAAATAAAGCGGTAAAACAACACGCAGTTCTTTGTTTTCTTTTTGGCTTGCGTTTTATTCCCTAAAAAAAATTGGAATAACCAAGATGACAAGTGAAACGTTTTAGCATAGAAATTCACATTCTAAATTTGATATATCAAATATTTTAAAAACAGAGATATGGTTTATACATTGTCATTTCATACTATATATTGACATTTGACTACCGTTGCAATTGCAAACTGCGAGAATTTCTAGAACTTTATCATAATCAATCCCTGTAGGACTTTGGATTCCGTTTTTAGAATTGAGAACTTCTTTTGATTTTTTGCCATCATTACTAATCCAAAGAATATTGTTTGTTTCGTATCCAGAAACATATATATTACTGTTCCCGTCACCTGTAAGTCCTCTTGGGCTTTTTAGTTTTTCGCTTTGAAATGAGAATCGCACATTCCCTCTATAATCTATTGATAAAATAGTATCTTTGTTTGGCAAAGAACAGAATACCTGGCTTTTCTCATTCGCTGTTAGAAAAATCTTCTGGTTTAAATGCAATAATTCTTTTGTATGGAACATTTTCTCTTTATCGCCAGACGTTCCGATTAACATCAAACCTCCAGCATTGCAACCAACTACAAAATTACTATTAGAATATCTAGCAATTCCACTGCAGTTGTCTCTAATGGATACTTCGCGTATTGAAGACATACTTTGTTTATTGTATATATGAACAGTATCCATTCCGCTTTCGGTAAGTACGAATACGTTTTCATCGATTGCTGCTATTCCTAATGCTTGTGACGATATCTTGACATTACGGCGTAGCATGCCACTAGTTGTAAACTCTAGAAGACATGTATGTTTTTGTTCAATGGCTATTATCTGACCACTTTTAAATATAGTACAATCTATGATTACTGGTTCTTTGACACCTTTTTTGGCAATATCTATATGTTTATTTAGTGTTAATATATCACCCGTCATTGATTTCATTGCTTCCAATGGTATTGTATGTTGTGCTGCTGGAGACAGTGTTATAGTGTTGACAGGAATATGTTGCATTACGGGTTCAATTTTGATTTTTTCAACATTTCTCAAGAATGCCTTGATTTCTTCTATTCCGTTTATAGCTAAATCTGTACGAGTTGTTTCTGTCACAGTATTTCGAGTTTCTTTCTCTTGTCGAAACACATGCTCTATTTCATTAATGTAAAGAAATGTAACATTATCGGAACAAAACTTAGCTATATTATCTAGATTATCTCGTTGTTTACATAGTCCTTTTTCTTGTATTCGAAGTTGTTCTAAATCTTTTCGAAGCTTTTGTAATTCTTTTTCATAAACGGTTTTTACATTTTTAATTAATTCGTTCATATAGCTATTGATTCGGCTTACATATGAAGATAATTCAGTTTCGAGCTTTGTCTTTTGACGGAGAATATCATTTAGATTTTCTGCTTTGTTGTTAAGCAAATGCTTCATTGATTCACCTTTTACAGCTAATTGATTCTGCATTTCTTTGAAGCTAGTAGATAGTTTGACACCTTTTGAAACATCCGATAACTTTTTAAAACTACAATGTCTGTGTAACTCCATCAAACAGACAAAACAGAAAGCATTACAATGAAAGGAACAATAATATTCCGCTTTTTCTGTACTATGTGATTCACATTTGTGTGTTCTGTTTATCACCTCTTGAGGGAAAGAAGAAATATTGGAACACGGAATAATACTGTGATACTTCAATTGCGGAAATTTAGAATGAATTTCTTTACATTTCTTGCAACGATGTTCACTACATTCTAGGCAGAAGGCAAAAGCATCGTTTTTTGTCTTTGAACCTCCTCCATTAAAACACGGAAAGCACGGAAAAGATACAGTTTCCATTCTGAAATCGAAATCATAATGTTTGGAGAAAACATAGTCAAATAATTATTGACAATTTTTTATAAAACATGAAAAAGAAATAACAGTGGTCTAGTGGTAGTGTGTTCGCCTCGAGTGCGGGAGGTCGTGGGTTCGAACACCGGCCGGGTCAAACTAAAGACTTTAAAATTGGTATTTGCTGCTTCTTCGTTTAGCAATTGGCATTAAGGAGTAACAGCAAAAACGGCTCGGAGTCTGAATAATGTGTCCGGGTAAGGTGACATGTCTCCCAGCGGACTGTTACCGTGTAAACTAGCATGTTGACAATCCGGCTCAGCGTGTCAGTCTAGTACAAAGCAGGGTTAATATTTATATCACATTAATATCTTCTAGTCCCGAATCTGCATATTAATTGGCAGCTGGACGTTCAGCAGCAATTCTTCATTTTCATCATCATCAACAAATCTATACAACACATCAACAACTTCTTGAGAAAAGTAATGATTAAATCTAACAGAGATAATCAGAGTTCCATCATCAAAACTAAATTTCGCAAATAAAAGTAGAAAAAATGCAATTTAACAATATACTGTAAGCTACTGAGCACTAATAATACCCACCTCTTGCATTTAAGCAAAATGCATTACATATAACAAACGAAGCTGAAGCATACATGCAAAATTGAGCGTTAGGATTTAACTCACCAGTTTATAAGTAGAGAGATAGTTACCAAGGAGATAACCTGAAATCGCCAGTCCTATGAAATCAGACATCATGTTCAAAAAGTAAAAAAAAATATAAAAAGACCAACATTAATAACAAAAATCTACACAAAATAACTAGATATTGAGAAACACAAAACCCTTAAGAATCAAATTTCAGAATATACGATATTTATATAGGCTGTATTATGATGTATGATAGATAAAACAATTTTTTTTAAGGTTATCTAAATACGCAAAACTATGGGAGTATAAACTGTTAAACACTTGACCTGAAAAATCCAGGGCCATAATTTTCTAATGACAGTAATAAGCATTAAGCAAGGGAAATTCTTAATAATATGTCAGGATTTATTTAAGGTAACTTGGGTGTCTTCCTCCATCTTTGATAGTGAAAAAGCAAATAACAGTCGGTCTAGATCTTTAATGAAATGTGCAAATTTCGAGAGTAGTATGTAATTCATGTGTAAGACTTTTCATGTTAATATAGAAAATTTAGTATTTTATCATATTTACGGCTGTATTTTACTAAAACAGAATATTTTTGTTTGATTCATTTTTGTTCAACTTTGCCACATAAGGAGAGATAACTCATATGGAAGGGGAGATAACTCAGATAAAGTAACGTTTAAAATATAATGTGTTGTGAATTTACATATTTTATTATAAGAAAATGCATCCGTTGACCCCATTTATTTTCATTTTTTTATCTGTGAGATTATTATTAGAGCTATTTTCTCATATTTTATCCTAAAATTCTATGGTGTATTTTTTTTATCACACAAAATTGGGTTTTCTATGCATAATCTGTACAAAATCTGACAATTTTGCACAACCTGTAGCGTGCAAAAAAAGCCCGGTTACGCATACTTTTTAAGATATTGTTGAAAAAAGCATAATATAAACTAAATTTGGACAAACTATTAAAAAAATCTATGCATTTTAGTTTAGACCCCCCATCTACCTTAATACACATATTTATTTTCGTTAGTAAAGTAGCTCTGATTTGTAGTTCCTGAAAACAATTGGACGTATATGTTTATACATTTCTTATACATACATCAATGAAAAGTCTACATGGATGCAACCCAGGAATAAGATACGTGTTAAATCTTAAAATATGCCAGATGTTGTACCTTACCAAACGAAAAAGTTGGCACCAAACACGAAAGAAGCATTGATTTGCTGGTTTGACAAAGATGAGTCTTAGACGAAATTTCGCATATGACGAAACTTACCCTTTAAATTTCGATCAACAGAATAACAATAGTTCCATTAAAGAACATTCAATAAAAATCAGGTTACAATTACCAAAGAAAATTGTAACAATGTGGATAACATTTTAAAATTTGCAATTATATACAAGACTAACCTGCGATTTAGATATCTGTTATCTAACGGTGACAAGTAGTTCGTACGTCGTCAAGAGTCGATTGGTATCTTACATTTATTGTCGATCAATACGACATTCGTTGGTCTTCATGTGTGTTAACTGTTAGCAACTAACATTGAAACATTTAAAGGTAAGTCATTATTGAAATATAGTGTATTTATAGTGTTTTTAAAATCCAAAACAATCTTATTACAAAGGAATGTATTTTACATCTAAATTCTAGACAACTTATGCGTACGAAAAACAAATTTATTTAAACTCGTACACATCATGTGACACTTTATAATGAGGCTATCTATGTATCTTTGTTTGCCAGTCTATTTTAGGAAAGAGAAATGTGTAGTTGGTTTGTGTGAACTGTCAAACTGTTGGTATTATCTGTTATTATGTATTAGTGGTCGTCCCACTGTCTGTTTCACTCTGATACAATTACATATTACGGCTTTGTGACGTCAAATACGTTTAGTTGCCTCAATAACTTAGACCTGGACATATCACTGACGTCATAATGAATGAACCGACGTTGATAAGTTTGACCCGAACTTATCACGCCAACTTCCGGTTTGCTGTTGAAAAATACAAAACACTTGTTTATATTAGGCAAAATATGCAAATACAATCCGATAAATCGATTATCTGGTTGTCTGCATATTTATATTGAAAAATATCAATATGTAGACAACCTGATTATCGGTACTTATTTAAAATAATAGGTAGGTTTCGCTTGTTTTCGTGTATGTTTCTGAGTCCTTTTTACCTCAAAATTCGATAGATAATAATCAATCGATCATAACTAGTTTTAGATCCTGTTAATAGAATTATAACGAAACTGAGCCTAATCATTGATAACAGTTTACTCAAACAAAGATGACCTTATAGAATTGGCGATATTGTTTTCGCGGTCTTATCTATAAGTGTACAAGATAAACGTCTCATACTATGCATACATTGAATCCACAATTTAAGGGTAATTTATTCGCATAAACATGTTATATCGGTCACCCAATGTCTTATGTTGACTTGTAGAACTTATGACGTATCGATTTCAGTCGCTCTACCTCATCACTCAGTTTGAGCAGTTTCATTGTCAGGAGCACTTCCTTTGAAGTTCGTATAATGTGAACTTGCATGAGTGTAACGTATATATCTATTGCGATATATAAAGGGCGTACAATGAGATAAAGGGTATTTCACTGTTACGAAATGAGAAGTTGCCAATTGAAGAGCTGAAATCATCACGTTCGTCATAAATATTCGTTTGCAGTCACCATCTGTATCAATATTTAAATATCAAAATATGAAGGAGAGCCTCTAGTTTCGGAAGTAAGTATCAACCCAGTGATAAGTCTTATTCGGTAGGTCACATTCGAGAAAAGGAGGACAGATTGTGGTAACGACAATTGGAACATATCCGTCGTCATCTTTCAATTGTGCACGTGGAATAGTAGTGTCGAGCGTAGCAAATCCAACACAGTTTTTATAATGCTGCACAATTGTAATGATTTTGTGAAAAGATTTGAGAGAAGATCTTTTGTATTTTTACACACCCGCATCTGATTGACACAACTGTATCAATATATCTAATCATGAGATTTCTGAAGGGCATGTTTTACAGTAGAAAAAAAACTCAGCATATATAACAGGATAGAAAGACCCTTGTAAAGATGTTTAGATTTTTCTACTCTATGTACCACGTTGCCTCATAATCTTATTAAGAAAAAATTCACACACCTGATTAAATGGGCATTTAAAAAGTCGGAATGCGAATATATATGTTCAAACTCTTTTAGGTCATTTTTAGTAACAACAAACAAAAGAACTATGTCAATTGGACCTGCTTTGATACTATAACTGTCCTCGAATTTTTACTAGATAACATTTTTTGTTCGCTATGGAGATTCCGTACATCGTCGGGTTATCGGAATTCCCATGGGGACTAACTGTGCACCACTTATTGCGGACCCGTTTCTGTATTGTTATGAGTTACAATTTATGACTAAAATCAGCAAAGACCCATCGAAACAACATCTGATTCAAAAATTTAATAACACTTTTAGATATTTAGATGATATATTGGCTCTCAAAAATGACGACTTCAGTATGTACACTAAAGAGATTTATCCTGCCGAAATGACTTTAAATAAATCTAATACTAACAATGAACACTGCCCTTTCCTGGATCTTGATATCTTTATCTCTAACGGGAAACTGTTCCTCTGGTATCTTTCGCCCCTCTTTTTTATTACCAAAATTTATGATAAAAGAGATGATTTTTCATTTCCTATTGTTAATTATCCATTTTTAGATGGTGACGTTCCCTTATCGCCATCTTATGGTGTTTATAAATCTCAACTTGTTCGATTCGCTCGTGTATGTAACATCGTATTTGATTTCAACGAAAGAAATCTCTGTATTACTGAAAAATTATTACACCAGGGTTTTCGATATCACAAACTAGTCAAAACATTTACTAAATTTTATCATCGGTACAAGGACATCATTCGTAAATATAAATCAACATGCAGACATCTTATACGTTCAGGTATTTCACATCTAATATATTATGGTAATATTCTTTACAAAGCACAAAAATGTCGGCATTCACCTCAAAAGCTAACCAAACCTTTAACAGACTTATTCGGAAAGGATATAGTTACGATACTGTTGTCAAGTCATTAAGGATTGCATATTTTCATATTGATATTGATTCTTTGCATCGGAAATAAACACATTTATTCTAAAACCAGTTGTTGGCATGATACGGGTTATGTTCTTCTCATATATTTTATGATGGTATGATACTAAACCCCTAACAGGAGGGATTGAAGACATAATCTTTCAACCAGTTTAATTGAGGTTTGGAGCTGGCATGTCAGTAACTGCTAGTAGTCCTTTGATCATTTATGTATCATTGTCATTTTGCTTAGTTTCTTTTGTTCGGACTCGGACTTCTTTTAAACTGAATTTTACTGTGCGTATTGCTATGTGTTTCTTTTTTCTACATTGGCTAGAGGTATAGGGGGAGGGTTGAGATCTCACAAAACATGTTTAACACCGCCGCATTTTTGCACCTGTCCCAATTCAGGATCCTCTGGCCTTTGTTAGTCTTGTATGTTTTTTAATTTTAGTTCACTTATACGTTTTGGAGTTTAGTGTGACGTCCATTTTCACTGATCTAGCACACAGTTGTATTTAGGGGCCAGCTGAGGACCACCTCCGGGTGTGGAATTTTCTCGCTGCATTGAAGACCCATTGATGGACTTCGACTGTTGTCTGCTCTTTGGCCGGGTTGCTGTCTCTTTGACATATTCCCCATTTCCATTCTCAATTTTATTAGTCTAACATCTAGACAACCCGCCTACGCGTTGCAATATTTCGTTGTTTTTAAAGTTTTTTTTGGGGATGTTCAGCTATAGTAATGGTTCTCTATTATGTTAATACTAAAGGAGAGGAGGACGGATTTATAATTTTCTCAAATGATTTTTGTAGGGTATATCTGTACTTCTAAGATTTGCTATAAACTCCAAGGTCTTTGGTTATACATACATAAACATAATAATATTGTCATATAAAGCAATATTATCGAGACTTTGTGTGATAAAACAACAATATATTTGTAGTGACAAGAAAAAAAACCATCCACAGTATAGAGACTTTCTAAAGGGTTAGTAACGCATGTGCTTGTGTTACATCAAATGCGTTTCTGATTGAATGACAAGCAGCCTTAATCCATTCCTATAAAGGATCCGTTTTTGGTTCATCTGGTTTGTTCTTAAGCCATTTGTTGGCATTTCCCTCGACTGCATCTATTAGTATCTTGAATATCTTTTTGCAGTTCCTGGGCTGGGAAAATCGATTCGTCTTGCCGTTGGCTAACGCATTTTAATAATTACTAAACGTTGTTTGATGTGTTTTCCTCAGTTTTAGTTTGTAACCCGGATTTGTTTTTTTCTCAATCGATTTATCAATTTCGAATAGCGGTATACTACTGTTGCCTTTATTTACAATGTCAAGGTCCCCGATTTTAACATGACAAGCGGATTTTGTTATGGCGACTATGCACATCGGCTGGTTTGGATTATAATCATTGAGGGTAGATCTAGACATGGTAATGGTAACTTATAGATACAGATAAAGATATTTGTTCAGAATCAATGCAGCTACTACATATATCACGTTTCCTTGACTGAAATATCAATCAGTTCATATCCAATTGATATAGTATAAAGGTACAGAACCACTAATTCGGCCCGGTCAGAAAGAACATACAAGAAAGTAGAACAAATTCAAAACAAAATAGTCCCTACGCATAGCTGTAACTTTTTCAATAAGTAAAATATCTAGGTAACTTTGGTATCAAACGAAAGCTTATGGACTTGGAATCACTGTAGAATCTTTGTTAAAAGTTTCTTTTGAATAAAAAATAAAAACAAATTTTTGAAATTAAGACAGAAGGGCATATTGGCCCTGTCGCTCAGATCAGAAGTAGCTGATTGTGTAATACCCAACGTCCGGTAACCAGTGCGCTCTTATATGAAATTAAAGGTATGTTGATTTTTTTCAGCACATTGTTGTCAAGTCAGGATGAGGTATATAGTTTTGACATGAAATGACTATCACTTTATTTAAACTTAATATAAAATAGCTATGAATGCTGTAAGTAGAAGAATTTAACATAGAATCAATCAAGGGGGCTATGAATTAGTGTTCTTATTCGTAAAGACATCATAGACAGTCTGTGAAAACATGACCTCATGCAATGCCAAAATACATAGGTCAAGACAAGATTTAAGACCAAATGTCTTGATAACTTTATAAGAATACATATTTAGTTATTTCAAAGCTATAAAGAGCGCCGATATGACACAAATGTGTCTAAATCGAAACGTTATGCTACTGAATGTTCACACTATTTGGACCTTAATAAAGTGTTTCCTGACCCAACATTACCCCAAACGAGTTACGAGAAGAACGACTGTAATCAACACCACATAAGTTTTACGGTTACCATCCCAAATTAATTGATTCATACGATGTGTCGGAGTCTCATCTAAATAACTAAATAACTAAATAGAGACATGTTTTGGCCTTCTTAGACCTCTTGATACAAGAGTAATCGTCTA